AAGGACCCAAATGAAAATTTTCGTCAACCATGAATGTGTATGCAAGGAATATAATGTTATATTGCAGGGATAATGGGATATGAAATGCAATGTATGTTTCATACGACCCTATCATTCATGAATCTATATGCATGAAGTACAATGACATATTTATATGAATGATGAGATGTATTCCTATGACTAATGCAACATATTTGTATGGAATGCATGAACTTATCAAGTGCACATTATATTTTTACATGAAATGCAATGCTTGTGTTATGCCAACCTAGTGAAACTAACACTACCTTTAAACATGTAATGAGATGGAATGTGCGCACTACTTATTAAGACGCATATGGTAGGCATGTATCATTTATCATTAAGTATATAACATGGGATGCATGCACTGTCCATTAATGTGGATGGGATAGAATGCTCATATTTTTCTATCATGATGTGCATGGGATATGATACATGTATTATTTATTATGATTTATGAAATGCAAAAGATGAAACAAAATATGAAAAAAAAATTAAAAAGGAAAAACAAAAGAACTAGGACTTGAAAATTAATTTTATTTGGCCAATAAACAAAGAATTAAAAAAATCTTTAATTTTTTGAAAACATTTTTTCATTTTTTTGGCTTGTTGGATTAATGCTAAAAAAATTTATTCTAAAATATTTTATGAAAATGTAAAATTTGGACAATTACCAAATGAATGGACTACATGTTAAGAGAAAATTTATTTTTTTCAAGAAAATGTTTTTTTTTCATTATCTATTTTTTCAGTTTTTAATACAATTTTAAGCTATTTTATAAAAAGGTTGGCAGGGCTCTAACCTAGGCAAGCTTCTTATGGTTCACGATATGCTGGGTTAGGATTTATTTATCTAAGGTTCCCAGACCATTCCTTACATCATCGTTTATTATAGACTAATAAGGCTCCCTGATCCTCACTCATTCTAGGCTACTAATGAAAAAGATTCAATCTGAGTAAAAGTATTTCGCTAGCAAATACGGAGGTTACCACCCCACGAGAGCGTAACTACGTTACTTCCTCATAAAAGAATGGAGCCCGGGTCTAGAGCTTATGCATGTGAATGAACATGCAAAGTGTGTGCAAAGTGATGTATTAATCAAAATAACATAAATAAATCATAAACATAGAATCAAGATAAAGTGATAACCATCATGCAATTTATTTTATTTATGAAAAATTAAAATAAAAAAAATTGAATTAAATATCAAATAAAACCAATTAAATCCAATCATTGTTAATAGTGTATGATTAAAGTTTTGGCTTGACTCTCAAACGTCCCCAGTGGAGTCGCCAAGCTGTTGTAACGATTTTGAAACCGTCAGACGTAAAGTATTTTATAATTAGGAAAAATAAAAAGGGAGTCGCTACCAATCTTTGTTAGGGTGTGATTGGCTACCCAAAAGTTTATTTTTTTAATAAAACCATAAAAGCAAGTTTAAAGTTTATCAAAAAGATAAATTTTGATCTACGAAAAATCAAGTTGGTTCTGGGTGTCAGTTAAGTGTGAGGAAGGATTAGCACCCTCACAATGCCCATAACTTGGTACCATTTAATTACTCACTATTTTCGGTGTTGGATAAAAATGGTTTCAATTTGAAATTTAACACTAATTCCCTTCATTTGAAAAAATAAAATTTTGCTAAAGCTTTTTATTTAGGAATATTGAGAAAATCTTAAAGTTAAATAATTATTTTAAAATTCTCTAACATCTAGGCAAAATTTAAAATAACTCTTTTCGCTTAAGATTTAATACGATAATCCTTAAAATGAAATAACAATCTTTATAAAAGATAATTGTTAGTGACTCTCCAATATCTAAGCAGAGTCCCAAGAATTATTTCTTTCATAATATTATTTTTATTTTATTTTATAATATCATAAAATTTTTTAAAAATATATTATTCTTTTTTATTATAAAATATTTTATCATCAAATAGTAAATTAAAGAGAGAATAATGCAGGCAATTATCGATGATAACACGATAACGTATGTATGCTAATGAATGTCATGTAAAATGAAATGCAATTTAAAAGTTGTGTTCTTAAGTATAATGAGACCACCCCGACTCTCCAACATCTAAGTAGAGCTTAGGTGCAACTGTTTATATTTAAGATCCAATTTACTATTATGCTTTTTATTTATTAATCTTATTATTAATGCGAATTAAGAAATCGTGTGAAAAAATTTAATAAAGTAAAGCTTCCTAAATATCCTATTATCTAGCGATATTCAGGAACAAATTACTTCAAATGAGATTTTCACATGTGTTCGTAGGATTTTCAGAATGTTTTGAGTAAGGGCTTGAGTAGAGGTTTTAAAGTTTGAATGATCTTTTTGGTAATGATTTGGGAATGCATGCCAAATTTGGGGTTTTTAGCATTTCAAATTTTAAGATTTTGGATTTAGGATTTTAGGATTTTAGTTTTAGGGTTTTGAGGTTTGGGGATTTGATTTTAGGGTTTGAGGTTTGAAGTTTAGTTTCAAGGTTTGGAGTGATTAGGAATTAGTTTTAGGGTTTTGAGATTTGAGGTTTTGATTTTAAGGTTTGAAGGGTTTAGGAATTAGTTTTTTTATTTTTTTATTTAAAAAACGAATATCTCTAAAAATCTTCAACATCTAAACGGGTTTTCGGAGTAAATTCGATTTTTATAAATTTTAAAATTAATTAAAAATTTATTATATACTTTTTTTATGAAAATTTGTTAATAATAATTCTCCAACATCGTGACGAAATTAGTTTTAGGAATATGTTTTTATTCCCTCCAACACCTAGGTTGGAAAAATAATAAAAATTATTATTATTATTTAGATTATTATTATTATTCTTTTTAAAAGCATTTTTAATCTTTTTTTAGTCATTATTTTACTATTTTATTTTTATTATTATTAACAATAATTAAAAAATATTTCTAAAAATTTTTAAAATTTTATCATGCCATAAATATATAAAAAAAAACTCAAAAGTAGCAAAAAATAATAATAATCAAAAAAATAAAAAAATTAAAAAAAAAATTTTTCCTAAACCAAACGGTCAACGACGATTCGGTTGGATCGAAAAGGTTTCGGTTGAGCCGACTTGAAGAACGGTTCGGGCCGATCTAGGGAGCGATTCAGTTCGGTCCGATTTGATCAAACCGGTTCAGAAGCTACTAAGGAGTCGGGTTGGTGGGTCGGTTGCGCGAATCTCGAGTCGAATTCGGGTACATGCGCGAATCCTCTTAGGTCCAATACGACATCGTTTTGACCTTTGCTTTTCTTATATAAAAACCAACTTTTTTTAACTCATTTTTTCATTTCTCCAAGAAAAAAATTTCAGTTTAAAAGCTTTCTCTGGCTTCACTGGAATCCGGTTTACTACCGTTACGCCGGTCGTCGCCTAGGTCATCGTTGGTGGTCGCTACCAGTGGTCACCGGTGGCCGAAAAATGCCAAAAATACTCCCAGAAGCACTCTTCAACATGTTCTTCCTAGATCTGACCTTCTTTTTATCGAAAATAGCCTCGATCAGCGTAGATCGAGGCTCAAAGTTTTTGTTTTTATATTTTTTTTTATGAAACAAGATTGATGTATTTTTTTTTTTTTACTTTTTCAAGTAGCTTTAGCGTTGTGTCCTCCCTACAGGGAAGATTGTTTGTCTTTGTTTTTTTTGTTTCTGTTTGGTATGGGTTTGGTGAGGGTTAAGGCTCGGACTAGGGTGTTAGTGTGGGTGCTGAGCTTGTTGAAAGGGGATTGGGTAGTGATGAAGGTAAGCTCTTTGTGCGTCCGAAAAAGCCATAAAAAAGAGGAAATTGGGTGTTTTATAGATGGGGATCTAGGTAGCTGTAAATATTGCTAGGGTAGACTATAGGGTGGAGGTAGGGTGGTGACAGGAGGCTGGTCGGGAGGTTGCAGGGTATGAGTGGCTAAATATGGCTAAGGTGGCTGGCTCCAAGCATCAGTTGCCTTACTTTTTACCATTTTTAATTTTTTTTGGTTGTTTTTTTGTTTTTAAATTTTTATATATTTTTTTATTTTTTGTTTTGTATAATTAATTTTTTAATTTTTATTTTAAATTACTATTATTATTACTAAAAAAAGTAGACTGAACAAAACCGGTGTCTACAATTACCGTTATCCTTACGTACCCAGAACATTGCTTTTGTCTTTACTTTCTTTGTACAAGTTTTATCATTGTCCCCAAATACACAACAGTGCTTGCATTTCTGTGGCATCCATGGGATTTCAACTGAAACAGACATTATTGATCCATCCCTCCTTTCCACTTCAATGAACTTTGGCACTTCCGTACTTGCCTTCATCTCAATACAAATCTTTGCATATGCCAGTCTCTGCTTATTTGCAGTGATCGAATCCATATATAGTGGATTACCTAAGGCACTCGCTATATAGCTAAGTCCCTTTTTCGTATAGAGTTCAAGTAGTATATTGGCCAATTGCACCCATACTGGCAGCATTTCCATGTTAAACTCTAGTGATCGCATTCCTGGCTCCCATTTCCGAACAATCAATGGTTTGTTCTGGATATGCCATGGCCCATGTTCTATCACCCAATCCCTAACTTCCTCGTTTGGGAATTGAATGACAAACAGATTCGTTCCGGCAGGCTTGATCTCAATTAAACCACTTTTCCCCTATAAAACATTAACCATCTTTTGAAACAAACTGAAATTTGGGAAGACGTGAGTTTGGATTCTATAGTTTGTAAATAAATAAACAAATGAAAATCAGAGTCTGTCAACTCAAATTTGGATCTCCTATTCCAGTTAGAGTTTTATGATTGAATGGTCCTGCCTATTTCACTTCTCTCAAAATATCAGTTCATGGAATATTGAATAAGTCCTATAAGTATAAAGAAACATGAGAACTGAGAAGGTTGTCACATAATGCTTGTAATAAATCTATTAAAAATTTCCTTGGATAATGTAAAAAATGAGCTTTTGTGCAAAGAAAAGAAGGAAAAAAAAGTCCCTAGAAACTTATACTTTATTAATGTCTCCTCGGTGTGTCTCTGATGCTTCACCAGAACTTCCATTAATCCTATAGTCCGAGGGGCTTGTAAAATCTCCAAATGCAATACAACTTCCTGCAGAGTTATGTCCCCTTAGAATTTTTATTTTGACATGGTCAAGCAATCTCAGAGTATATCTATCTTCCTCTTCTCTAATCCTAGGTATGGAGTGCCCGGTGGAATGTGACTTCGAAAATCTTTCCATCCTGTCACGTTTCCTATTATGTTTTTCTCTTGTATTTGAAGAGGCTTGTGCTTCATCTTCTCCTCCATCAACTTTCTCATTGTTATCTTCTTTAATGTCAATGCAAACAGCATCTTGTAGTGAACTTTGATTTGCTCCGATTTCATGCATGGAATTGCTATGAACAAGTATCGGGGACTTCTCTAATGATTTCCTATGCATATCTAGCTCCCCACGACAAACTGGACATGTTTTATGCAATTCAAGCCAAAGATCAACGCATTCTTTATGGAAAACATGACAACAAATTGTCAAAAGTCGAAGCATATCATCATCGCTGAACTCTCCCAAGCAAATAGCACAATCTAGGCCATACTTTTCGCGACGAAACTCTTTGACAGAGGAATAATAGAAAGTTGGGAAAGCTTGTATTAGTTCAGGATCAAGGCCATCACTTATAGTTGCATCTGCTGTGGCAGCTATAGCACCTGAAGGGTTACGCCGATTAGTCCAGGTACTAACAAGATTTTCCAGGATACACCTACAAAAGTATGCTGCGAAAAAACCAAAGAAGAACAAAACGAGGAAAATTAATGTTAAAAGTACAGGTACTGGCGGGCTGTAGTTTGTTGAGGGTGGTGGTTCGGCAAAACTAGAATATGTCGACATTGAATAAAAGGGTAGCAGTGGCCGGAGTATAGATCTTTCCGGCCTTGTAATATTGCATTTGATGAGAGAAAATGAGATTTTTGTTTGTTGCTTGGATTTTTCTTTGTTGTTGTGTAGAGGGAAGAGAAAATCAAGGGGGCATGTCAATGTGTTTTAGGAGTATGAAAAAGTGGTAACCTTAATTTGGAAAGCTGATGCTTGGTAAGCATTATATTTATGGGTATTGAGCGAGTCCTTGTGAGAAGGATATGGAGCTTTGTCTGAATAATGTTTGTCCTTGCTCTGTTTACTATTGTTCTTAATCAATGACATTACTCCAATCACAGCATGGTATGCTACGAAATGGTGGGTTTTGGTTACGGACAGTCCGGTTCAAGGCTTCAAGGCAAGTGTGAAAGTTTCCTTTCTTAAATGAACAAAATTAAACGCCCGTCAATTTCACCTTAAAATTTTGGCACGTGCATAATTAAACCATGATTTCACGTCAGAGAGAACTAAGAACAAAATGGTAACTTTAACAAAGTGGAATGCGTTTCTTTTCAGATTAAAAAGGGTCGTCTGATAATTTATATTTGATAACAACGACAAAGTCGACATCAGCATACAAACGTCATATCCCCGGCCAGGGAGGGAATATCCATACATAAAAATTAGGCAGCTGAAATGTCAATAGGCCAAGGATCCACCAGAGACTTGAAGTGAGCAAAGAAAAAGATTTCCCCAACGCATAAGCTGGAGGTACATGACCCTGCTGTCCCAGGAAAAGCTTCTTGCTGCAAAGAATTTCAGCTCTCATCTCTTCTTCCCTTGTGTGTTTTTTCTCTCAGAACATAAAAGAACAGGGTTTATTCAATATCATCAATCCAGTCACCATATATCCGACTGATTTTATCTGGACCCTTCCATTTCTGAATAGTTCTCTGTCCTGGCCTCTGAAGGACAATCAATGTCCTCTGCGAAGGAACTCCGAGATGATAAACATCTGAAAGTGGAACTAAAGAGACTGACGCAGCCACAGTATCAGCAGGAGTTTTTGAAGGCACTCCTCCCCCTTGCTTTGAATCAGAAGGGGTAGCAGAAGAATCCTTAGCTTCTGTATCCACAAGGCCACCTCCATTTCGGTGTAATTCTGCAGTAACAACAAATTTCCATGCTTAATCACATGAAAAAGTAAAAGGAAAAGAAGACAAAAACTACTCCACGTATAAACCTAGTTTCCATCAAATATAATATATGCTAAAGCACAGAAGATATTAGATACTGATCATAACTAGCTAAAAAACCATCTATTTGTGTACTATTAAAAAACATCAAAAACATCTATCTTGCATCATCCAACAGGTTAGCTACTCATCAATGGACAATGAAGCTTGGGGTTTAAGCTAATTCAAAAGTAAAAGTGAGTCAAAGTTCTTAAATTCCGAAATCATGATACAAGCATATGCATGTGCATTGCAACTTCATGGTTCTTACTTAACAAGTGCACAACCATGATAACAGTCGCACTTTGAGTAGCATTCAAGTTGCCTGATATCATTAGTAAATTGGATGGTTGCTGCCCAGGAAAAAATTAAATATAACAGGTTGTTTAATTGGAATTCTAGCCACTTAAAAGCAGTTAGCTACAAAGCATCAAGCAGACAATTCCAATAAGCTCATAGGAACGGAAAAATTACAGTCTTTTCTAAATTGGAGCTTTTCAGTTAACATAAACTATTTCAAAAAGATTAATCATGCGAATTCTAGTCTTTTAACAAGATAACTAACACCAAGAATAAACAAGTGAAAACCATAAAGACTTTGAATAATCTAAACCAAAAAGGGATAAAAGAAAGTAAATTGGTTAATCCATAAATCAATAAACCATACCTCCAACTCCATGAGCAAAATGACATTTATTTCCAAATGGACAGTACCCAGTAAGTTCCCACTTATTACAAATCCTAGTCTTCCAATTAGACGGCTTTGAATTCGATCCATTCCCATCACCTCCACCACCAGCTCCTCCCCCGCCACCACCATACCCGCCAGGCCCCAAACTTATAGCTACACTCTCCCGATTCTTCGACTGCTCATCATGCAAAAACGTACAATTATCACCATAAGGGCACCCTTCCTCTGTATAAAACTTCTTGCAATGCCTTCCCTTATATGACCTCTGTGTTTCCCCTGAAAAACTAGAAGACCCCACAGAAGGAATTTGAAATTCCTCTCTTGGCTCTGATAAAACCCCTATCTCTTCTTCATGGGCAGCCACTATTTCTTGCCAATTAGGAGGTGGGCGTCGAAGCTCTTCAATGCTATGAGCAAAGTTACAATTTGTAATATAAGGGCAAGTGCCAGCCTTGAACTTGCAGCAAAGCTTGGTCTTGAAAAACATTTTGCCTATGGCTTTGGACCTGGAATTTAATTCCTGGGAATTTCTTGGTTTCTTGTTTGGTGGCTGTTCGGAGTTGGACCGTGATTGAGGTTGTCTTTGGTCGTAGCTGGAGTTTGAAGCTGTGTCGGTGGAGGTTTCTTGGTTGTTCCAAACACGGTAATCTTCTTCTGTTGCCCAAACTGAAGGGTCTGTCGAATTTGGAACCCAATTTTCAGGCCCATTTGTCGAAATTACATGAACAACATTTTCTCTACTATAATCCATGTTACTTTTAAAAAAGTATGATAAAAAAGTAAACTTTTTTGAAAAAAAAAACCCTAATTTTAGTAAGTAAACATGAAGAATGAGATGTACCCAGAAGCTAAAATTACATGAATTAGACGAAAACTGAAGTTAAAGAGTGAGATTTGAGAAATGGGTATTTGATTACACATTTAAACAAACTAAATTTGACAGAAATTTTCAAACTTTTTGGAAGGAAGACAACAACAAGAAGAAAGAGAACAGTACAACAGATAAAACAAAGATAGAAATGAAGGAAGAGGAAAAGTTAGTTGAAAGATTCGGAGTTAGATCTACAACCTTAAAATATCGTAAGATGATAATCAAGAGGAGCAAAAAAAAAGGTTAGGAAATGTTGGAAAAAGGATATATTTGTTAAGGATAATAAAAGTGGAAATATAGAAATATACTTTTATATATATGAAATGGAATTTTGATGATGAAATTTAGAGATGGATTTTGCTTGGAGAAAATAATAGAAGAATCAGCAAAGCAAAGAAGAAGATTTTTCAGTACTACTTTTTTGTGCAGAAGAGTGAAATCAGCAAGCAGGGAGGTTGGGAGAAGAGGTAACCTGGTAAAGAAACCATGCGTAACAAGTTACATGAAAAAGGAAAATCAATCTATATAACAATAATGAAAATGTTAATTTTATATCCAAGCATTAACTTAAAATTTAAAAAAAGAAAAAAGAAAAACTTTACTAAAGGTCTAACAAGTGATATTACAATTAAAAGAGCACCGATGAACTAAAAATCAAACTTCATTTTGGACATAAACTCAAGAAATAACAATATAAAACTAAATTTTAACATTATTTGACAACAACCAATATTCTGACATTTATGAGCTATAATAAAGCCCAAAGCTTAACATGATTTTTTGCTTTCCTTAAACTCGATTCTAGATGGAGAGTTTTGTCATTAATCTACTAACAGTCGTTCACTCTCAAAATTCACCATCAACTTGTTCAATTTCTTGTTGCTTAATCTTTGTGGGATGATTATGTTAGCTTCCTCGTAACTGTAAAAAAATAAATAAATAAATAAATAATGTAAGTATTTTTATTATTTTATTTTCAAAAAGAAATTTAAAATAATAAATAATTATTATCCCTAGCCGGATCGCACTCAGAGCCTTAAACCTGTGGAGAGGTCTAATCCAATCTTAATTAGTAGAAAACACTAACCTTTGAGCAGGGGAAGGTGTAGATGGCGTTAGCAAACGGGCGAGCTGAATAGCATCTTCATGGCTAGTAATGGCGTGGTCGAAGCATAAATATCGACCGTATGATGAAACATCTTCAAAGACGCAGATGTGAGCATCAACCAAGAAATTAAGGTCAACGGTAACGAATGTCCCACACTCGTACATCTCGGCCGCTCCTTTCAGGTAAGGGTGGGTGATGGAAAGATGGGGCTCCATCATCAATCCGCTGTTGATTGACACCATGTTAATGCCCCTATCCATTGCCAATGCCCACGCAGCCTTCTCTGCTAACGTCTTTGATAGGGCATGCCACAACTGGTTTTACCATTTTATATATAATTTTTTATGATAAAAAAATCAAAGTCAAATTAAAATTTTTATGCGAAATTTAATTACAAGAATGATACAAAGAAGTAACCATAAGATCGTACCTTGAATTTGCGACAGAAATTGACGTCACTCCAATGTCTTTCGTCCAAATCGGAAGTAGTTGTTTGAGGGCTGTCTCTCCAAACAACAGTAGTTACGGATGATGTGAAGACAACCTTGTCTATTGTTTCTGTTTGAGCACATGCCTCTATCACATTGTGTGCTGCTCTTACTTCCACTTCTGCCATAAATTCCTGCCACCAAACATCCATGCCATTTTCTCAAATTAATTGACAACTTTCACGACCAAATGTTCATACTCATCAATTCTTAATTTCAAGAGATATTGATAGCAAAATCCTATAGATTTTTATAGTTATTGTTGCTATTATTAAATCGACAAACATATTAAAATTAAAACTAAAATTAATTGTCATTAATTAATTATGTAAATTGCAAAATAAGTATTGAGACCATGTATCTAATTTATTAACAAATAAATGTCCTTTTTGTAATTATAAGCTTCTATAATTAATATCTATTTGATGAATTATTAGTTACCATAAATTAACAATAGACACATATACATACATGTTGAATTAGAATAAATACTCAATTCATTATTTTAAATTCAATCGATTAATGGATTAGAATATAGTCATTCAAGTTGATACATATATACATACATACCCAAATCCCAATCCATTTTATATAGTTAAAATAAAATATTTTATAATATTTTTATTTTAAAAAATTAAAATTAAAATTTAGAATCTCTTTTCAAACTTTATCAGTTGTATAGCTATTACTACAAGCATATACAGATAGAGGCATTTAGCAAGTGATGATACGTGAGAATTGACAGGCAAATTGTTAATTAATATGTATGAGAATATCCCATCCCTAACGCAACGTAGAGTCGTGGACGAACCCTACAATTCTACTCTACTCGGGACCATTCAAAGTGCATGAATTTACGGTGTAAAGTGTCTTCAATAGGACAAAGTATTTGTTTGGCCCGAAGGAAAATCAAGAGAGAAAATATTAATTGCGTGGAATATCGATCACATATTTTGCCTGTGATATTTCTCTAATATTTATCCCTTTTCTAGGGAAAATCATCAAGAAACTAGCTAGAAAAGTACTCTAACAAGAGATGAAAAGTTGTATTATTTACATATGGCGAATATCAACTGAAACATGCATGATCAACAACGAAATTAAGGGAAAATTGAAGAAAATTTAGAAGGAGGGAGTGAACAACGTCTTACATCATAGGTGGGCTGGTCTTCTGGAGGTTCAAAGGCGTAAAACAAACCAGAACAACCTTTCAGAGCATCGATTATGCTTTGATAGTCAAAAGGGTCTGCATGGAAAATCTTCAGCTTCTTGTTTTCACTAGCTACCCCATTAAATTTCAAATCACCTATAACCATGAAAAATTATAATTAATTAGTTAATAACCAAGCAAAAAGAAATTAAGCTGGGAATGGGGGAATAAATCATAATTCTAAGCTTTAATTACCATGGCCTTGAACTGCAGCATGGACAGTGTAGCCGCTTTGCAGCAAGCGTTCAACCAGGGTTGAGCCGAGGCGACCGGAGGCGTCCATCACACAAACTTTCTCGTGACAAAAAGAAGCCGGTGCCATTTTTTTTTTATTGGAGGAGTTGAAGTAAATAGTAATTAAACAAATTAAAAGCCCTGGGGTGTAGAGATGAAGTGTTGAATATATAAAGAAGGGGGGCTGGCTAAGCTTGGCCTAGCATTCAAAGGGCGTGGGAGAGTAGATGGGTAGGAGGCAGTTGTCGTTAGGGGAAGAGGAAGAGAAAGAGGTTGGAAGAAGAGTTTTTGTTTTCTTTCTTCAAGAAAATTTAAAATTAAAAAAAGTTATCTTATCTTTAAGATTAAGATAAATAATCAATTTACAAATAAATTTATCGATCATTTAAAAATTTTTAAATTTATCAATCATCTACTAATAAAATATCATAAAAATTTAACTCTAAGTATTTTATCTCTAAATATTAAATCTTACTTATTTGCGCTGTTTTAATAGATTTTGCATTTTTTCTCTTCTCTCCCTTCCGCAGATGCAATGTGATTTTTGCATAAAAGAGGGGTTTGGTGGAAGCGTGAATGCATTCGTGTCACGATTACAACTCACAAGAGAAACCTACCTTACTTAAGCTACATTCAACAACGAGTTTTTTTTTTTTTTTTAAATTCAAATTTTAATTTATAGTGAGACGAGTTGAAATGAACATTGGACAGGACTTGGTAGAGGTTGGAGGACCGATTGACATGTAATGCTTGCCCCCAATTATTGTTTCATTCTCCCGAAATAATTCATCGGAACCTTTTGCTGGGTGATTAGTCATGCTTATAAATAGTACTTTTTGCTTTTGCACATGGCAGTTGGCACCGCCGGTTTACCAAGAGAGCAATGGTCGAGAGGGGAACTTGTTATGCCTCGGTGGCCATAGTAAGACCATAGACATCTCTCATTTATCTTTCTTTGAAGTTGGGTCTAGGCTTGACTGACAACGAATCTGCTTCAGGCCTTCAGCCCTTCGCTCAGATTGGGCCAGATGTGAAGCATATGGGTAGAGTCAGTTGTTGACACCAAGCCTGGATTGATTTCTCTGTTTTCCGGATCTAATTTCGTTTTTTCCAATCCTAAACCCCGGGAGAAGGTAAATTAAACATGATTTAGTTTCTAACTTTCTAGTTTATTTTTGGTTGCATTTCCTTATTAACTGTGAAATTGATCTGGTTTTATTGTTTTGATTTGAATCGGTAGAGCGAAGAATTGAAGGAAAGATTGAGGAAGCTTAAAGAAATAACAAAGAAAAGAGTATCAAGATCTTGTAAAAGATATCTAACAGTAGCAAAAGTTAGTTCAAATAGTATGTTTTTTTCCCTATTGCAAGATCTTTCTTCACAGCTACTTCCGATGATGTATGCTTAAACAGGTTTACATGTTGCGCTGACAATGTTTACTGGGTATTTGGTTGGATCTCTTGCTTTCAGAGCATTGTTTAACCACAGTCCTTTCATGGTACTTTCAAGCTACCATTCTCAAATTTAGTACTTATGTCTTGGGTGCCATTTGTTTGGATTATTGGGATAATACCTCATTTGACTTCTGAATTATTATATTTTTTTTAATGTGATGCCTAAATAAAAAAAATTATAATTAGATATTTAAATTTTATTTTCGTATATAAAGTTACTCTAATCTCTTAACACCGTTAAATAATATTGATGTGACATTTAAAATTGAAGTAAATAACATGTGATTGTCATGTGGTTTGAGATGTGATTGTCACGTGTCATTTTTAAAAAAATAAAAATAAAAATTTTTAAGAAAATATTTTTTTATTTTTGTTTTTTAAAATGATGCCTGTAACAGTTATATCATTATCATATGGTAGTCATGAGTCATCTACATTAACATTTAAGTGTCATATCAGCATTATTTAGTGGTTTTAAAAGGTTGGAGTAATTTGATATAAAAAATAAAATTTAGGTATTTGATTAGAAATTTTTTTAATTTAGGTATCACATTAAAAAATTTATAATAGTTCAGGGGCTAAATGGGTATTATAAAAACTTGGTGGTGCTGAATTTGATGGTGCTGTTCTTCTCAGAACACTGCTGGAGGTATTCTTAGGTTGGTTTTTGGGATGCTCATTGAAACACTTTTGTTCATTATTAAAACTTGGGATCGTGGCCTTAAATCACCACCCTCAAAGTCGAGATTGAAGAAAAATCAATAGAGTAACAGCTGTGAAAAAGTTGGTTGTTTTTCTTTTTTTACTACCTTTTTTTTTCGTGATAAATCTCTGAGTATGTGAGTTGTAGAATGTAAATATTATCACCTTGTAACTATAGGGCATGTTATTTGATATTCCTTGTGATGAACAATATTTCTGTCTGTCTAACGTGAAGGTTTTGTAAGATTGACTTTTAATTTTCGTGAAGAAATCTTCACAAATTCTGTACAAATTAATGAGAGAATAAATAAAACTATCTTTAATGATAGTGAAATTTAAATTTTTTGAATTGGTTTCTTCCTGTTTGTGACATCTATATCAGTTTTGAATTAAAGCATTCTCTTTAAGAGATACATTATCAGTATCCTGGTTAATTCGGCTAAAGTTGTAAGCTTGTGACACGATTTGGATCTGAAATTACTGTGGATATCATAGGCTGCATATATTCAGAATTGTACACTGGACGTGTATTTCATGAAGAATTAGAACTCTCAAAAAGTACTTGTGGCCTAGCTAAGACTTGATTCTAGTGGAGGAGTGACCCAAATCCGTGGTGGATAAGTAAGCCTGAAGCTGGTAGGGTAGAAACCAATAGTTGAGCTCTGCAAATTGAACTCACCCATGTCATATCTCTTCTTGTAATAGTAATCAGCATGAATAGAGTCAGCCATGAAATATACATGGTTCCTTTTAATGCCTCCCTCGTTCAACTCAGAAAGTGAGAAAGACTGACTAAGCCCCAAAAAAAAGGCATATTCACCAAAATTTGCTATTGCAATCCATTTCTTCAGATTGAAATCTAAATTGTACACTGTAACCTATTCTGGTGCGCGTGCGATCTTTCCTGCAATATGATTAAGAAATCTCCTCCTGATTCAACAAGGTATCTTTCTTCAGTACAGTACTGCTTGTTTAAGGGTCTGTGTGGACTGGCCACGAACTCTATCATTTCTGGAGAAGTGGCAGTGTGGCCACAGATAAAGATTTTTCCAGTTTCATGCAAGGCAAAAAGCTGTCCTTTGTGATATATGGCATCCGTAAAACCATTACATTGGTTGCCCATTGAATCTGTAGATTTTATAGAGCTCCAGATTGCGTCTCCTGGTTTGCAATAGGCCAAGGCTCGATGGCGAGTGTATATAAAAAAGACAAAGCACATGGAAGAGTAACTGCAGGTAAGAATTGAGGATATGACAGCCTTACTAACAGAGGATATAGAGTAATAGATATGAGTCTTTGATAAGGCTAACATTTGAGGTACTGGAGGGAGAGTTGCAACACCGGGAAGTCTATATCTAACACCTGAAACCAGGTTTAGCATGACCATTTCTAGTTTGAGGTTCACCATTACGAGCCATCCCTTGTAAGACCTACGACACTCACTCTTCTCAGGAAATGAAAGCAGCAGTAAGTTATGAAGGACAAGGGTATCAGTGTCGTTGCAGAGCTTGATTTTCGTCCAGGGGAAAAAGCACTGTGTTTTGCATGAGTTATCGGGACCGCCATCAATTATGAAGCCTGCAGGGGTGCAGCGGGGGAGATAGAAGCGTTCTTGGAGAGCAACTGATCTCCATGATGAACAAACACTACTGAATCGAATGATATCACAGAGATTTACTAGTTTTTTCATTATCAAGATCAAGATAGGTTTAGGGAGAGCAGACCAAGAATTGCGTCCTTGAAACTGGCTTCCATGAGCTTAAATAAAGGATGTGATTCAATCCTTGCCCTAGAAGGATTCCAATTTCAATGGATAGCTTTTTTTATTTGGCCCACGATCAGGCAAGCTTTGGGACGAGTCTGATATGGGCTGTGCTTGGCCCTAATGTTCATCTCATTTGCAATTTAATTTTGGGCTAAACTTAGCGAGGTTATTCTTTTCATTTGCAACAAGATCGGTTTTGGTTGAACACAGCAAGGCGTTTGAGGCCTCGTCGATAAATACAAAAGATATCGACACAAAAGAGAGGGAGTTGAGTTAGTTTTCCAAAAGCAAGCCACGATGGAGTGAGCAGTAAAGTTGTCATGTGATATCACATGGGCCATTCATTCCACGTGGAGCCCATTGAAAACTTCGAACGTGGCATCACATGAGGCCGGTGGTCCCATTCCGAAGTAAAACTTCAAACTCCAATAACAATAGAGAAAGGAAATGAATCAATGAATCAATGTATCAATCTTCCAAACCATCGTTTTTAAATACAAACTATAATGTTGATTTAATGAAGTTTTTTTTGAAAGGAAAACAAAAGGAGTGAAGTATGGGGCCCTATTCTCTTCACTTTTTATTTAATTTCTGTATTCGCAAAACACTGTTTGTGATCAAATGGAACATTATCTCATTGCTTTTTGGGTAGAACGCATCATGGGAACACAGAAACAACCAAATCCATTCACCGTCTTGCCCATATCGTGCAATCCGATTTTTTTTTTTTACAAGATATTATTATTATTTTTAATTAAAATTACCAGAAATTAAGTATTTGTTAATAAATACTACTTAGTAAGTTATTTATGTTTAGGAGAAGATATGTTGATTTTTAAACATTCACTTTTTTTTCTTTTGAGTTTGAACTTTGAATAGAAGGACCAAATATGTGGTTGGAGGTTGGGCATTGCTATTGATGGAAAGAAGAAAATTCAAATATGAACATCATATTTTCCTTTTTCATGAATATAAACCAAGCTTTAAACTGATAATTTATTTGATTTTGGGCTTTATAGTGCAACTAGAGCGAGAAAAATAATAAAGGATACCATAAAAAATTGTACTATACTGTATTTTTTTTTGTTATTATAGCTTTATTAGAAATATATTAGATTATTTTACTTACACAAATGGGTGTCATCTAATGTTGGCTCATTTTTTTTTTATCAAATTTTAGGAGAAATCTCTACTTTTGAAAAAAATGATAATCATTAAATTTGATAATATTAAATTCAATACAAAAATTTTTAAAAATAAAATAATTTAAAATTAATAAAAATATATTTTATATTGATCATATTAACATATTAAATTGTGATACGAAATAAATGCTGAATATAAATACAGGTGGCAGCATCACCTTTCTCAGTCACCCTTTTCTCGTGACCCAAGAAAAAAATGAAAAATACTTTTCTAGTCTTCACCAAAGCCGACGCCTGGTTCATGGCTACGCTCACGTTATTCTGACACTTGTCAGCATCTCCTACAATTTCAAGTCAACTATCGTCACCGCATCCAACGGCTCGTAACTATCTATATTAGCGTAAAGCCCCTTTATAGATTAGAGGCATAAGCTATAGCTGACAGTGCAAAAGGTCGAAAAGTTGAAAACCAAACGCTCTTCCAGTTATGAAAGCTGTTCTTCTAAGAGCGGGTTCAGTTCCGGTCATGTCTTGGGCTCTATGCGGTTCACCGAGAGTTTCTCTTTCTCGTCGTAATTCGATCGGTGGAGTTTACTCCGGTGACAGAGACGGCTCCTCCCTTAGCTCTCCGATAATCTCGTTGCATTCCCCTATGAATAAAAGGAAGCCGAAGGAAACTCACGTGCGTATAAGGCGAGCGTTCTCCGATACTGATCTCATCAGATCGGAGTCTCGTTTTTCCGCTGGATCTCGATGTTTTCCAGCGGGGATACTGGAGGAGGAGTACATATCGGATGGTGAAGTAGACGGGGAGTTCCGAATATTGGTCACAGGAAACGTAAGTGATGGGGCGAGTTTCGCACCAGTTTGTCCGGAACTCAGGGTCTCAATGGAGGAAACTGGATTTTCCTGTGACGGATTCGGAAATGGAGGCAAATCCGGTGGCGAACACGGAGATGATTCGCGCGGTGATAAGAGCAAGATCGGCGACTATTATCGGCGAATGCTGAAACTAAATCCCAGTGATTCGCTACTCTTGAGAAACTACGGCAGATTCTTACACGAGGTGGAAAAAGACATGGAGCGAGCGGAGGAGTATTACGGGAGAGCGATCTTAGCTAGCCCTGGAGATGGGGAGGTTTTGTCTTTGTACGGAAAGTTAATCTGGGAAAGACACGGAGATGAGAGCCGAGCCAAGTCTTACTTCGACCGAGCCGTTACTGCTTCTCCTGATGACTGGTAAATCTTTTCACTTTTCCTTTCATCTCTACCGCTCGGTGCTCAGTTTTATATTTGCAAACACAAACTTATTTTTTGGTATAATTTGCAGCATGGTGCTGGGATCTTACGCACACTTCATGTGGGAAGCTGAGGAAGATGAAGAAGAAGAGGAAATGGGTGATGAAGTTGGAGCTTCGCCAGCCATGGTTGCTGCTTTTTAATGCTCTTTCGTTTACCATGATCATTTGAAGACATATTGTTGCTTAGGGTGCTGTGTTTTGAATAGGATTTACGTGACTAAAGAAGTCGAGGAAGAAGGAAAGAAATGAGACTTTTGATTAACAAGAGAATAAATCATGTTTTGTGTAATTTTTAATGCTAACTACAATAACCAGACAATAAGTTTCAGGCTATCAAAGCTGCTGCAGGACCATACAGGAGCATGTAATTAGTTTGTTGATTTTGAACTTTTTTGTTTTTTTTTGCTGTGTAATACGTTGTATCTATTATTGGCAGCAATTTCTACTATTTTATGTCAAGAACTTCATCATTTTGCTAACATACAATTAGCTCAATCTGAGTGAAATGATGTTATTATGTCAGATTATAGTATGGATTTTGAACAATGTTCTAGTTCTTTTAAGGGATCTTAAACTTCAATTCTTGCAAAGGTTCCCTCTGTCGGCTCTACTCGGGCAACACCTTGACTTGAGGAAAAATGAAACGAGGAAAGGAAGGAGAAATCTTCACTTTTATCACTCCAGTAAGCAAGGGGGAAGCCATAAATAATAAATAAAGAAAACAAGAGGGTGCAGAAGAGAAGAAAGTGCATGTACCAAAGAGTCAAAAACATGTGGAATTGGGAGACGGAAATGCTGAGTACACGGCTGTCTTGAATGCTCATGTTTAACGCTTGATCACTCTTGTTCTTTGTCAACCATCCCTCAAAGTGAAACTCATGGCTTTAGCCGCGAGATTTACTTGATCGAATTAGGTTGATAATTCAATCCTATTTTTCTCCCAACGACTGTAAACCGGTAGCATCATGATCTCAACACTGCTCAATCATGATTCGTAACTTTAAAGTAGTTGACTCTGTTGCAACCCTGCTAATCAACTGCTCTTGTTCGACAACTAATTACCATCGAACATTTCTTAGAAAACTTGTTCGAACTTTGTTAAATCTCAAAACCGTGTACTTGGATTTTTGCCCCATGGATGACTAATTGTTGTTGCTCCAAATCTGCCATTGGAAAACCTTCATCCGTAGTCCTAAAGATTGACTAAATGTGTGATTATATAAGAAATGTCTTGGAATCAGTTATGACTCAACGACTTATGACCTTTATACAGGCTTATAAAAGGCTTTTAGGTTAATTTTTTAAGGCCCATGCTTTTGCTTAACAATGAAACAAGTTATCTAGGCCCGTATTACAAAACTTATTCGTTTTGACCCGATCATTACCAATTTACCAATATTGTTCTAGGGTTCTCAATTCAATCAAAAACTTCCTCTACTTGCCCCAAAAATGGGGAAGAAGAAATCGGAAAAACCAGAAACGCCGGCCGGAGGTGACAGCGTTTCATTTCAATCTGATATCTTCAAAGCCATCTTCGGCGAGGTTCGGAGCCAAATGCCGCTGTTTCTTCCCTATTATCTGATAGTAATCCCTTCAAAAGAAGACCCCTAGAATCCGTTGAAAATCGTGAAAAAGTTGATTCCTTGGATTCATTTACCATTGAATTAAAGCAGATGAAGCGAAAGGAGAGAGAGAAAGCTCAAAACCCTGGTCAATTGAAGAAGATACAGAGACTCAGAAAGAGAAGAAAGGGAGGACCCTAGAAAACCCAAATTTAGGTTCTTTATAAAGTAGTTTCGAAAGTTCAGATTTTGATGTAAAAAGCTTGGTAAGCAAGGAAAAGAAGGAAACGTCAGAAAGCCCAAAAGGCCAAGATGTGAAAAGGAAGAAGAGAAAGAGGGATGAGGTGGAGAAAGAGTATGAGGAAAGGAAATATGGGACGGTGGCGGCAGCTGCTGAAGAGGTAGTTGTGGGGCAGAAGAGGAAGAAGGCAGAAGATGGGATGGTTGCTTCGGTTCCAAAGGAAGGGTTTGATGATGAGAGTAAACTTTTGTGGACTGTTTTTGTGGGAAATTTGCCGATTAAAGATAAGAAGAAAGTCTTGATAAAGGAGTTCAGTAAGTTTGGAGAGATTGAATCCATCATAATTCGCTTTGTTCCTCTCAAAGATGTGATTTCTCTGTTATTCTTTCTTCTCTTTGGTTTCATAAATCTTTTGCTTAATGATTTTTTTTTTTTTAGACCAAAAAACCAAGGAAAGGAGCTATAATTTTGAGTCAAATTAATGAGAAAGCCGATAGGTATGTTATTAGTCCATATGAAAGATCACTTTTTTTTTTAATTGTTTTAGCTTTCCGGATTGTTAATCGGTTGCTATATATTCAGTTACATTGTATGATTGCTAATTACATGGTATATATTAATTTATGTGTTGTTTGATTCAAATCCTTAATAATTTTGCTTTGATCTCCAATGAAATTTGAATTAATGGAACAAATTATGTTCAAAACTATATAGGTATCTAAAGTTGGTACATATCTGGCTTGTAGTAACTGAATGCTGAATACTTTTTGCCCGTAAGAGATGATTGTTTTTCTTTATAATATACTTAGTATGTTTATATTGAGACTGTTGTTTATGTTGATGGAAAATGTTTACTGTCAAAACCCCCCTTTGCTCTCACCTTGTTTTGTGAAATCACCTTACATATGTTGGTGATCAGTAATGTTGCCTTTTTGCAGTGTTCATGCATACCTTGTTTTCAAAACAGAGCAATCTGCCGAGGCATCTTTGGCCCATAACATGGTTGTGGTATGTCTTTTTGCTTAGTGTTGGCTGAGCAATTGTAATGCTTAAGGTGTAGATATTGTATATTGATTGTATTGTTGTGTACGTGGATATAGGTTGCAGGAAATCACATTCGTGTTGATCAGGCATGCCCACCAAGGAAAAAGTTGAAAGGGGAGAATGCTTCTCTCTATGATGACACAAGGACTGTTTTTGTTGGTAATCTCCCCTTTGATGTGAAGGTAATCACTTGTACCTGATATTTGTTTCTTGATTCTGATTTGCATTTATTGTTTCCTGCCTCTGTTAGTGTGATCTGAATACAAGGTTACAACTTATTGCAGGATGAAGAAATTTATCAGCTATTTTCTTGTATCAATAATCTGGAGTCCAGCATTGAAGCTGTTCCGGTTGTTAGGGATCCTCAATTTGGTGTTGGCAAGGGTATAGCTTATGTCTTGTTCAAAACAAGGGTATGTCTACTCTTTTCGTTATTTTTTTCAAGCATTCCTTCATTAATTGAAATTTGGAAATTTGCTATTTCTATTCTCAAAAATTCTATTTCACCAGATCACTACTTTCATATGTCATGAGACCTAGTGCCAATGGTGTTGATAGGCTTTTATCAATCTATGGGGCCTGTATAATTTGTCCTTTTAAAGAAGTTGATTAATTGACAATATTGAACTGTAAGCCACATCTCCTCGTTGCTTAACCCATTCCATCTTTAGAGGTGAACCAGGAAAATCCACTTTATGTTGCTGTATAGCTTCACTGCAATATGATCTAGCTTGGGTAGGATAGCTTGATCTGCTGTTTTCCTTGAGTTTAGTCTGATCTAAATTCTCTATTTTCTTTGGTGAGGGAAGAAGAAATAGAAAAGTGGAGGGAGGGGGGTTCTCTAGATTGGAGAGTATTAACTGTTGTGTTAGCACCACCTATTATTTATGAGTGTCTTACAAGTTACTGATGTGCATTCTGGATGCAGGAAGCTGCAAATGTCGTTGTTAGAAAACGAACACTGAAGCTTAGAGATAGAAAGCTGAGGCTTTTTCATGCCAGACCAGATGCTACCCCATCTAAGAGAAAGAATACTTCATCTTCAGGGACAAATAGTACCCCAAACCAAGAAGTTGGCAGCGGATTCAAGTATTAATGAATGCAGATCAAACGAGAAAGTTTCTTTGTCATGCCAGGGCTTGCGTGCTAGCAAATCAGGTGTCCAGAAGAAAGTTTGTTCGAAGGGCACTAGTGGCCCTGTAAAAGTGAAATTTAAAGCTCAAAAAAGTGAGAATCCAAAAGAACGCACAACCAAAAGACCAGCTGTTGCTGCTAGAAAGGCCAAGGCAAAAGCACACAATGATGTTGGTGTTCCAAAACAAGCAGGTGTAAAACGGAAGCTGGACAACTTGAGTCCTGGGATTGTCCATCAGAAGAAGAAAGCCAAAAGATTTAGGTAGGAACAGAAGAAAGACCTCGAGTCATAGTACTTGAAGAAAAGCCCCAACCCAGAATTGATAATTGATAAAACACCAGTGTGGTATAAAAGAAATTTTAACTCCGTTTTAGCCCTTATAGATAGATAGTTGATAATTTTATCATTATGAACCATCAGTTGATGTTGTAAATTTGTCATTTAGGAAATAAACTAATGATATAGTGAAGACGGTATCATTGGCCATTAATGGCTGCTTGGGGCATATTCATAGTCTTTTCTTGGAAGTCTTTTTCCTGAATGCGAATATTCGGACAAAATTATTAAGCAAGAGCCATTTATATTGTTACCTAAGATATTGTTTCTTACGCAAATAGCTTATAAAGTAAATCTCATGTCTGTAATTGACTTGGACATTGAAACTGTCAGTAGCTTCTGAATAAAGCAAAGGAGGCTTGCCATTGGCACAAACAAACCTTAGCTTTGTTGTCATTACCACAAATGAATCTTCTTTCCATGATTTTGTTATTCAAGGCATTACATTGAGGGATGCTCCATTTTATTTAAACTAGTGAGCGGCTACGGCTACGCCCTTTTCTTTTTTTTTTTAATTTTGTATATATTGTATAAGTGTATTTAAAGAAAATAAAAAGAAAAACAAAAGTCAAACCTTCTATGCTCATTCAATACTTCATCAACAGGCTGCAAGAGCTTTTTCACCATTGCTGCAGCAACATCAAATGATTCTTGTGTTTCAGCCTCAACTAAAACATGCAAGTCCCTATTCTTTGAAGGTTCAGGTGAAGGAGACCTAGCTCCCTCAAGTCTATCATCCAAAGGCAATCCAGATTGCAACATCCATCTGATCTCTATCAACCTATTATTCAAAGTTGGAATTTCAGAGTTAAATTGGATACCTCCAGTAAAATCTTTCATGAAATCAGGGAGCTGAATTACCAGCTTCGGCTCATCATCATTGCCCACCGGGACTTCCTCTCCTTGGTTCCACCGCCCATCTCATCATTCCCACTTGGGTTGTTGTTTGAGTCGGAAGACGGATCCCACCTGCTCCTCCTTTGCCTTCGGCTGGTAGTTTCCTCTAAAACTTTTTTAGAACTAAACCCACAAAACGGAAAAGAAGAGAAAAAACCATAAAAAATTAAACAAAAAACTGGACGCGTGGTGGTTTTAGAATCCTTCGGGATTCCTTTTATATATAGTGCATAGATTAACCACAAACAAGTTGTAAAATTTGATACTGAGAGCACAACAAACATTCTTTGATATAATAAACTTCTAAAAAGAATATACAGATTCTGAATACTATTCTTGGCAATAAAATTGAAAGTGAAACAAACAACAGCCTTCCCCCAACTCTTCTCATATTCCTCCCCCTATACAGAGTCAACCTGAGAATGGTAAAAGCAAATACAATGCATGACAAAGAATTTGATGACTAACACATTCCCAGATCACCATCTTCGATATCAGCAGGACCAGTGCGTATTCCATTAACCAGAGAAACAGCAGCAGCACATTGCATTTATTTGATGCTATTCTGTACAGAACTTGTGGCGACCCAGCTACCAGGAGATTGAAGCCCCATGTACAAGCAAGCTCAGCCATTAAAATGCTATGATTTGGTCTTGCTCATAAGCGTAGGTGTGACAGAGACAACCCCTATAAGGAAAAGAGTGGCAATTGAGTTGAAGTCATAAAGATCCCCTACAGATTGTAACTCTCCAAGAGCTATTCCTGCCTGTAGAACAAACAGACAAGCACACATTATTAAAGTATCAAAAATGGCATTTAAGTGGTTTTCATTACCATATCAACCTAAGAGAAGAATAGGCTAGCTTAACATGCGACTTTTACATAGAAGTCCAAATTAAAATACCCTGACAGTTATGTAAGCAGCAGGAATGAGTCCAATGAAAGTTGCTATGAAGAAAACATGGTAAGGCACATCGACAATAGGGGAAGCCACATTAATGAATGTATTTGGCAAAGTTGGAGTAAGCCTTAGGAAAAGCATATAGCTCAACAGGCAGTCCCTCCTTTGAGCTACCTGGAAGCACGAAGTTAAAACTTAGTCAACCTTTTTAGCTCAATGTAAGCAAAGATGGCTTCAATAAGGAATTGAAAATCACCTGGGCTTGGAAGAAGCTCAGCTTGTCAGGCCAAATGGAAAAGACAAGGGGCCGCCCAATCAATTTTGACAGGAAATAGCAAGAAGAAGCACCAGCGGTGGCAGTGAACACAACAAGAGCTACACCTTTGAAGACTCCAAACAAAGCTCCAGCAAGCAATGACATGAAAACAGTTCCCGGAATCATGAAAGTTTGCATGAAAATGTAGACCACACAATACCCCACCAAGACTTGTATGGTGTAGTCACTTGTGTAGGTTTCAAGGTGATCTCTACATGATACATTGACAAAAAAATAAATAAATATAATATTAAAGGAACAAAAACGCCATCTCAAAGAACAGATAATACAGAGGTTATGATAGTCAAAGAATCATAAAAAATTCTTTGATGGTGAACCCAGAGAGCACCAAGGATCACCGCATGCTAGTTCATTGCATATCTCTTTAACCAAATACTGTTTCTCACCAACAGAAAGTATAACATATGAGAAGTAACATCTGGAACATTTTAAGAACCAAACAGAATCGGAAAAGAAAAGTGTATAATCACCAATTCCGGATCCATAAGATATACAGGCATCTTAAAGGCAAGCAAAGCTCATCTTTTGTTTTTTTTAGGAAAACATTATCATTTTCTAAAGAACCCTTGAATAGAAACTCATTGATCTTGAATAGCTGAAATGCAATGCAATCTGGTCCAAAATCACACCATTTTTCATTTCCACCAAAGAAATCCATTCATTTATTGCCCCAAAGTCATTACAACAAAAGCAAAAAAAAAAAAAAAAAAAGGCACCATTGGCTTGAAACTAGACGGATCCCACAACTTCACAGTAAAGTAACAAATTCAAATTTTCTCTTCGTTTTCCAGAAAGATAAAAAAAGACAAATTTTTTTCCAAATTAACAAAAAAGCCAACATACCTGAGGATTCGAAGATCTTCAAGGCTCCTGGGCAATTTGAGGAAGCTATAATCAGACGCGGGCATGGTCAAATAAACGCCAATGAGTCCCAAAAAGAATCCCATCACCACCGTTGAAGCCACCGTCACCTCCCAAAAGCTCAAAGGAAAACTGGGTTTGGATGCCTTAATCTCTTCTCTCCCTTCCATTTGTCCCTTTCGGTTTCAAATTCCCTTCCCTTTCTTTTCTCTCCTTTTGCTTTTTATTAGCCTTTCCCTCCCTCAACAAAAACAAAGAGAAAAGAAAGAAAAAAAATTTCCAAAGAGGGAGAGAAGAAGATCACTTCGCCTTTTAGGACACTTCTTCCCCTTCCTCCCCTCGTTCCCTTGTTATATGTCAAAGTGTGCGAGGGAAAGGAAAGAGAGGGAGCATATTCCCCGGTTAGAGCCTTAAATCCCAAACGTTTGAAAAAACCCAACTAAAATACAAAAATAAATTAGTAAATAAAGAGTATTTCTTTTTTCGAGGAGACTAAAAAAAACCAGCGTCGTTGTCGTCGTCAGCTTCTCTTTTTTTTTTTTTTTTTTTGAGAATAACATTTTATTTATAGAAGCTAAGATTTTTGCCACGTGGATCTAAAAGGCTTGAGTGAGAAAGCCGGAAAAGGTGAAAGGTAAAGCAAGGTAGATGCGATGATTAACAATGATTAAAAATGCGTAGATGATAAATCAAATCGTTGGATTTGATTAAATTTCAAGTTTAATTTTTTCACCATTCACATTGTTTAATAATTAAACTCTACACTTTATTTTTTTTATTCTAATTAAGACGTCAATTGTACTCGTATATTTATTTCTAAAAAATAGATTTTATCGTTTAGACAATTGTTATAATTTTAAATAAGCGATTTAAAGAATTTTTTAAATTATTATATAAAATAACATTTTTTAATACTTTGAGCATCAATAAACAATTATCAGATTTAATAAAAATATTATAAATAGAATCAATTTATAATTATCATATAAAAATAAAGAAATAAAATTATATACACAAATTTTTAGTCAATATTTTTTTTTCTTAAACCATATTCAAAGTAAACGTAAAAATGAGTGTTGCCTATATATTTCAACCTTTACTTTGCCTATTTCTTTTATTAGCTGTTTCCTCGTATAAAAGGCCTTATTTTAATGGAATAAAGAATTATATTTGATTAAAATAAAAAAGATTGTGAAACGTAAGCCACGATAAGCACGTGAAATAGTGGGAAACAGCCAAAACACAGGGAGACGATGCTCGCCTTACGTCAACCAAATCGAGGCCCACATGTGCTGGTCCTCCATACCACCGACCTGCCCTGCCCAACATTTTTTCAAAAAGAATGATAAAATAATAACTTTGCATCAAAATATATTTTTTTATTTAAATAACATCGTATAATTATATTATTAAAAAATTAATATTTATTATGTATAATAATTATATGATAAATATTTATTTTAATATATTAATTAATTGAATAAAATCTATTTATATCAGTACAATTTTTAATTTTTAATTTTTTTTAATTCTTTCTCTTTGTCAATCGACTAAAATCTATATCAAAACGAAAATTTATTTTAATAAATTTAAAGATAAGAGAAATAAATAAAAAAATTATTTAATTTTATTTTTTAGATTTGCTAAATTAATTATTAAAAATATATAATTAAAAATTTTTATATTATTATAAATTAATCTCTTTTTTAATTAATTAATTAATTATAAATAATTAATTTTTTAATAATATCATTATATGATATTATTTAAATAACAAATATATATTAATATAACGTAATATTTTATATAATCTTTTATGATCTTCCTCCACCATTCTCTCTTTAATTTCGCACGTGTTTTGAAGATACACTTACCACAACTTTTTTCGTTTAATTTGGCTTGGTCGTAGGGTGAGGTTTGCAATATTCTTTTCCTTGTTTTTTTATTTAAATAACATCGTATAATTATATTATTACAAATTTAATATTTATTATGTATAATAATTATATGATAAATATTTATTTTAATATATTAATTAATTGAATAAAATCTTTTTATATCAGTAAATTTTTTTTATTTTATATATTTTTTAAATCTTTTTCTCCTTGTTAATTGGCTCAAATCTATATCAAAACGGAAATTTGTTTTAATAAATTTAAAGATAAGAGAAATAAATATAAAAATTATTTAATTTAATTTTTTAGATTTATTGATTTAATTATTAAAAAATTATACTATTATAAATTAATATCTTTTTTAATTAATAATTTTATTATATATAATTAATTTTTTAATAATATCATTATATAATATTATTTAAATAAAAAATATATATTAATATAACGTAATATTTTATATAATCTTTTATGATCTTCCTCTACCTTTCTCTCTTTAATTCGCACGTGTTTTGAAGATACACTTACCACAACTTTTTTCGTTTAATTTGGCTTGGTCGTAGGGTGAGGTTTGCAATATTCTTTTCCTTGTTTTTTTATTTTTATTTTTATTTTTATTTTTAGGGAAGGTTGAATGTGTTGTATCTCAAAGATTAGAACCAATTATTCTTTTAGGCCGCAGAAAGTCATAGGCTTTTCACTCAGTAAATAAGAAAACTTATTACCATGTGATATCTCTTTCTTTTAGCAAACCTTTACTTCTATCCTTATCCGTTGGTGGAGACCATCTGTAGAATTCCTAGTTTGATTGTGTCAAAATAAGCTTTTCACCATGTTAGCTTATTATTCAATGTATGTACTTCAAACTAATTAAAGTCAAATATGGCAACCCATGTAAAATGTCAGCCTAGCATTAACATATATATCAAACATTTTCACGTGAAAGAGCTATTGAGTTTGTAGGATAAAAAAATTATCATTTTATATGGTCAAAGATTGAGTTGAATGAGATCTATGAATATTTCATTTTTTTTTTACTTACAATTATTAAAAATTATTTTGTTATCATTAAAATTAAAAATATAATACTTTATCAATAAAATTATATGATTATTAACAAATGTATCAAAATCTTAGTTCAGCATTGTTAAACTCTATTTGATGAGTTAATTTGAAGACATATTCTCACTTGGTCGTTAGAGTTTGCAAATGGAATTTTGTTTTCGTGAAATTCAATTTTGGACAAGCCCTGATTACACTTTCATAATTAATAATAAAAAAAACGAAAATACTTATGGATAATGGCCCAAAGAATTAATTTAGCTAATTAGGCTTCGTAGCAGCTTCACTTCAACAAAAGAGCAACCAGGCAGGCTCCTAGCTTTGGGTCTTGATACGAGCAAAGACTTTTATAGCCCACATACATCCACAGCTAGTTGGGCCTAAGAGAAAAACTCGTTTGTGCAGCTTTCATCGTATTGACACCCTTAAACTATAGTGGATCCATTAAGTATGTAAAGTCATTTTGGGTTAAGCATTGCATCAAAAGAAGCAGGTGTTTCTCATGGAACATAGAACAAACTCTATGCACTTGAAAACGCCCTGTGGAGAAGCCAGCCCACTCTCTCTGTCAAGCGAAAACTGACCCACGTGCCCCCTACAAAAGTCGTTCAAAATCAAATGAATAATAAAATTGATTTTAATGAAATTAAAAATAATAAAAAAATTATTATAATTATAATTTAAAATTTTTATATTAAATTAATATTATTAAAATTAATATCTAAATTTAATTAATAATACGGTAAATTTAACTATATTACATTAAAAATAAGAGGGAATCCGAACCCCACTTAATTTGGAGGAGCCATGGATTGGAAGCAATCAAGTGAGTCGCTGTGAGAAATGTGTGCCAATGTGACAAACGGATTTCGTGTATCTACTTAAATTGAGAGTGATAACAACACCTCAATGCCAATTGGAATCCATTTCCTTTTCTTATAATACTGTTAGTCTTGACTTTGTGATTGCAAGTTTGGATACCCATAATTTATAGTAGTGGACAAATTTGTGGCTATCTTTTTAGACAAAAAGCGTTCATTTTCAACTTCATTCTTTATCTTCTTCTAACATTTGATGGGCCCAAGCTTAGTTGACCCTCCAAGGGTTGTTGTGACAAATAGGTCATGACTCAAGATTCATATCTCTCTTTTTTTTATCTCACCGACAATTAAATACGATAATTTATGTATTTATATTATATAAAATATTAATAATTTATATATTATATTATATTTTATATAAAAATTATATATTATAATTTATGTTGATAATAAAATATATTTTTATTTTATTAAATATATTTATTATTTTTATTAAAATTTTAAATTATATATTTTATATTATATTATTATATAATACTTTAAATTATTAAATCTTCCCATAAAAAAAAGCATTGGAAAGTTTAATACAAAGTAAAGTCTTTCCATAAAATTCGACCTAAAAGAAAAAAAAAATCAAACCCCAATCTCCCCATCATTTCAATCAAACGTTGACGATGTCCCACCTGTCACATATACCCTTAATCTCCACCGTCCGTTCCCTGATAATTGTGCGGCGCGAATCCGCATATCACCGAAAAGTAGAACTCACGTCTCTTCCTCGTATAGTAACGCTGGTTACTTTATCATCCTCTTCTAATGTAACCCTAGTCGAAGGTATATATACCTTCCCCAATTCCCATCGAAAGCTATGGCATTTCATTAATTTCATTACGTATCCTGCTATTTTTATTTTCGATTTTTCCAAAGCTGTTAGGAAAATACCAAAAGAAAAAAATTTAAAGATTTTATTTTAAAAGAAAACCAACCCTAAAAATTCCAAAAAAATTGAGTCTTTTCATGAATCATAATTTCTTTTTGTTTGGTTCCTTTGAAAATCTGAAATGCGACGAAGCGAACGTTTCGTTTATGAATCAAGCAATGAAAAGTTGAAGGAAAAGAAGAAGTGCAAGAAGATATTTTAATCCAAGTGAGAAAGAGAAAAGAAAAGGGAAAGAAGCTTAGAGTAATGGCGGGAGAGCAGAGAAGATTCGAGATTGGTTACGCGCTTTTACCGAAGAAAGAGAACAGTTTCATTCGAGAATCGTTGGTGAATCTGGCGAAATCTCGAGGAATCGATCTGGTTAAGATCGATAGGGAACGTCCTTTAGTCGATCAAGGACCATTCGATTGCGTGTTGCACAAGTTGTACGGTGAGGATTGGAAGAGCCAGCTCGAAGATTTCCGTTCTAAAAACCCTAATGCTGTAATTATCGATTCTCCTGACTCAATCGAACGGCTTCACAACAGGATTTCGATGCTCCAGGTGGTGTCCGAACTCAAGATCGAGAATCAAACCGAAACCTTTGGGATCCCTAAACAGATTGTGATTTACGATCAAGAAACCCTATTTGATAACCATGCTTGGGAATTGCTTAAGTTTCCAGTGATTGCTAAGCCCTTGGTGGCTGATGGAAGCGCCAAATCACACAAAATGGCTCTGGTTTTTAACCACGATGGGTTGAACAAGCTTAGGCCCCCCATTGTTTTGCAGGAATTTGTTAATCATGGAGGGGTTATTTTTAAGGTTTACGTGGTTGGGGAATATGTGAAATGTGTTAAAAGGAAGTCATTACCAGATGTTTCAGAGGAAAAATTAAAGAGTTTAGAAGGGTCTCTACCGTTTTCTCAAGTTTCCAATTTGGCTACTCATGAGAAAAGTGATGATAAGTACTATAAGATGATGCATTTGGAGGATACTGAATTGCCGCCACATAATTTCATGGCGGATATTGCTGAGGGTTTGAGAAGGGCAATGAAATTGAATTTGTTTAATTTTGATGTGATAAGAGATACCCGATTTGTAAACCGTTATCTTATTATTGACATTAACTATTTTCCGGGTTATGCAAAAATGCCGGGGTATGAAACAGTTTTGACTGATTTCTTTTGGGATATAGTGAATAGGAAAGAAGGGGAGGTGGTAGCGGAGAAGGCTTTGGTTGAGGAGTGTAGCCAGGAGAAAATAGCAGGACTGATGGAAGGCAGGTGCTTAGTTGTGAGGAAGAAGTAAGGAAAATTGTGACCAATTCTTGCTGTAGTGATGGGGAAGAGAAGGAGAACTCTATTCAAGTTGACCGAAAATTTGTAGGGAATTTGATAAAAAGGTATAGGTTGGTTCGTTTTTCGTAGTTGGTCGTTTTGGAGGGTCGCTGCAATTGTACAAGGATTGGGACCCTGGTGCTGGCTTACGAAGGCAAAGTCAGTTGCACATTTTCCATTTTTAGACATCATTTAGTACAGGGGTGAAATAAGTAGGTTGGCTACTTTGAGTTTAGTTGTAGCCTCTTGACAACGATTACATGGTGTTCAGTGTTAATCATGTATTTTCTGTCCACTGTTGCTCTGGAGATAGGTACTTCTCAAAAGACTTTAACGTTTTAGGAAATTTAAGTTGTACTTTGAGGCTTTCAAGTGTTCTATTTTTTGCTTAGTAATTGTTTTAGTTTTTCATCTTGACAAGTTTAATCAGTGGATTTTGCTGTATTTTCAATAATACTTTCATTTTAATTTTCTTGTTTTTGCCAATGATAGTTTCATTTTAATTTTTCTTGCCTTTTATGTGCATTGATTAAATTGATGTGCTTCTTTAAATGCTTATCAGATTTAGGTTTGAAGAATTGATTGCTATGGCTCCATTAGGGTTTTGTTATTTGAAATAATGAAGTTGGTAGTCCGTCTAGTTCCTGCCAAAAATGATTATAAGAATGATGCTATGGTATTTCCCTTTTGAGTTTAGATACCTAGGTTACTAACTTGATGTATAAAATGGATAAATAACAAACAGAATGAATACATTTTGGTGAACTCTGAAATTTAGCTTCAGGAGATAGTTCATATTATCCTCTAGGTTTTGTGGCAATCGGTACTTCATATTCTCTTCTAGGTTTTGTGGCTAATCGGCATATTAATGTGGTTGCTGAAAGCCAGGTATGGTAGTTTGGTAACCTGATCTGCTTTAAACAGGTTTCCCTCCTTATTGCTACTTAAAGATTAATTTTGGAGAGTACTTCCAGTTTGCATGCTAAGTTGAAAACAGAAGCTATGAGTGCTTTAAATGGAGCAAAAATATCAGTTTCTTTTCTTTTTAATTTTCCCATTGAGGAAAACTTTTTGAAATTGAATGCCAATTGATGTGTTGATATCAACTGGTTGTATCGACTGCAGATTGCTGTTAATGATTGATTGAGAATTAAAAAGGAGGAAAGTTTTTTATTCACTTTAGGGTTACACTTTCAATAATTTTTTCAGCTACTGACATGGAATAAGGGTTCATGATATCATTGTTGCATGGGCTGATATCTCAAAAAGGCTGTGGGGAACTTGAAACCTATTGACACGTAAATCTTATATAAAAACATGCTGGTTTTATGATTGTCCTGTCCTTAAATCCTGTTATTATGGCATTTATTATGTTTGGTAATGATTTCCAGCAGCCTCTATTGCTGTCGTATCCAAAAATTTTGGACAGTATTAGATTTGAAATCCTTCGCACTTTTTTTTTGTATTCTAGTGCCTTTTTTAACAGTTTATGCTTTCACCGTTAGTTGTCATGGTCAAAGCTTTATGGTTACACTTTCGATGGATTGGTTACTTAACCAAGTGTTGTATAGGGATATATGAACATTGTTGTTGTGTGGCCTGGTATTGTTTTTAAACAAGTATGCCAGCAGCTTGACTTTATATAGAACTGCTCTGGTTTTGCATATCTATATTTCCCTGTGTCCTGAAGTTCTGTTTTTGTGCTCTTTATGGCTGTTGGATGAGACAAATTGTGATGTTTCATGTGTACAGCCCATTCCAATTGTTTATATTACTCTGAATATTTTTGTTACCGGTTTTGCATATTTGTTAAAGATTTTACTGCCCCATGCATGAATACATGCATATTGACGTAATTCTACCTTTATAGATGACACAATCATAATAGCAGCTCTTTACGTGTTACTTTTTGCTAACAAGTTGCTGAAGTGTATGTTTTCTCCAAAATTTCAGTCTCATGTAGAAGCTAGAAAAATTTTGTGTGTTAATTTTTGCAAACAAGTTGCCCACGTGTGTGTTTGTTCCAAAATTTCAGTCTCATGTAGAAGCTAGAAATTTTTGAATGTGTCTCCAGGGAGTTCTAGAAATGCTGCTGTTTGAACCAAATAAATGAAATATGAAGTTTAGTGAAGGAGACTTTGGTTTGTTTTTTTGTTATCTTATCCCTAAGTTTTTCCTTTCCTTCCTCTTTCATGGTCTACAAGCTAAAGGCCTGGATATTTTGGCCTATTACTGGTGAAAAAAAGAAAATTTAATATGCAGATCTTGTTCTGCTTGTATCTGTGTAAACTAACATGGTGACTCGGTGCTCTACTAATTGAAGGTTGGCTTTCAAAAGATGAAGTGAAATGGAAAAATAAGTAGTGGATTCTAAAATGTTTATTTCCTTTCCAGATTTGCTTCCTTTTGCAATTAACTGTTGAGTCTTTCTTTATCTATCCAAGTAAGTTTCTGTCTCAAGCATAACATGTCAATCCATTTTATTAAATTCAAATCAAACTCTCAAAGGGTTTTGTCTCGTTGAATCTACAATATTGCTTCTTTAAAGTTAGCTGAGCTCGTCTCATGATTCTATGACCTTAACTTCATCTTGGCTGCACCATTTCCATTGACAATCTCCTCTGTTTCCATCTTCGGTTAGCATGGACCATAATAAAATCTTGAGAAAATTCATGCTGCTGGACATTGAAATAGAACAAGAAATATGCAAAAACCTTGCATCAAAGATGTTTGTCTTTTAGCTACATTGTTTATTATTTCTAATGTAAGTGATGTGAATTTGATTGCTTGTGGCGATTCCTTTAAAGTGACGTGTAAGTTTTAATCATATCACTGCCTCCTAATTGCTTCTCTGATCTATGTTGGAAGTGCAAGTAAATTTTTTTCCATGGGGGTGCCTTGCTAGTAGCTTTAATCCCTTTGCTGTCCTTAAGAATGCTATGCTTTAGAATGACTGTTCTAATGCTCATGCTGTTAATGATCAATCAATTTTGTGCTTTTATTTGATTTGTTTTTTGCTATTCGTTTAACATTCCAAAGTTACCTAAGCTAAATAGTCAATTAGTATGTTTCTATAGTTGGATGGAGGATTTTAATTCTGCTTTAAAGTTGCTTTCATTTTTGTTTATCCATTTGTATTTGTTTTAGTGATGGTTAGTTCCAGGGGCACAGACCACTTAGTTTGTGTTGTGTTGCGTTGTGTTGAGCACTTGGTGCTTAATTTAGGGGTTTTCAGATTTTCAGATTACATCTCAGTTTGTACTGTTAATTTGGCTTCCCTGTCTCTATGGGAACATTTCTTGTGTATGTCTGGTTGTATTCTTATTATGAAAGATTTTGTTCAAAATGGAGTAAAAATTATGCACAATGATTCTTCTTTTTCTTATACCATATTTGAGAATTGATTAATAAAATGGAGATCCTTATCTTTCGAAACTTCTAGTGTTTTTATCACATTAATTTGTGTTTTGTGCTTTCCTTGAATTGTTGTCATTGTAGTAGTATTATTTTTTTTTGGTTACATAAGATAAACAAAAAAAAAAAAAAAACACTATAGAAACCTTCCTTCAGGTTATGGGGGGCAAAAGGAGACAGCCCGACTCAACCCAGCATCTGCTCAAAGCAAAGATAAGGAGGGACTGAAGGAGGAAGCCTTAGGCTCCGCACTAGTCAGGCAGCAGCTCAAAACCAACATCAGGACAATAGTACGGCCAAGTTTAGTAAATCAGACCATCTGGTAAATCAGATTATCCGTATATTTTATATAAAATATTAAAATTTATATATTTATAATGTATTTTATATAACAATTTATGTATATACATAAATATAAAATATATTTTTTATTATATTTATATCGTGTGGTCTTTATCGTATTTTAGATTACTAACTTTACCAAGACGATAGATCAGCCCAATTATTCCCCCTCTACGGCAAGGTACACTCTATTTTTTTTCCAGTGGCATGGGCATCTGCCTTCAGAATCAAATATTTAAATAATAAAACCTAAAAGATGGGCCCTAGGGGACAGCTTTTGAGAGGTCCAATTGAAAAGAATTGAAAAGCATGGGTACAGAATTGGAACCAATAATTTCACAAGACGGTGAAGCCGATTTCAAAGAAGGCCTCTGGGCCCAATTGGACCGGCTTGGGTTCTAATTGAAGCATAGTAGTAACCTAAATCCTAATTCTGTTCAAGTGCATTCGCTGAAAGCCTTTGAACAGGCCCAATTCTAGCAAAAACAAGCAAATTTTATAAATGTTTGCACAGAAAAAAAACCATCCCAGTTTTTCACCATTTGTACTCTGAAGTTTTAACTTGAAAAGAAAGAAATATTTCCGGAATTCACGTTGGAGGTGGTTTTGGTTGGTGATTATTCTTGTAACAGTCAATTGCTTATATAGGACGGTAACAATATCAACTAAAGGGCAACAATTCAACCAACATTCTGACATTAAGTGACTAAAACAAACACTAACGTCCAAAAGTGAATTATTAATTAATACTAATGAGATTTAACATTTTTTCCTTTTTCCTTTTTGTTAATCATAATGATGTAACAGTAGAAGACCCAACAGAAGAAAAAAATTGATTTCATGTATAAGTAATAAAAGGTTGTGACATGGTTGAATTTGACATAGATGCCATATTGCCATATATAGTCGTATGAAGTATGCACCTCAAGGTCTTATTTATTTTAAAATTTTAATAACTGTAAAATCTACTATATACTTAATTTGATCAATAACATATGCATGGCTTTGAGAAATTTTTTGGGTAATTTCAGTCTCTAAATTTTCTTTTCCTTTAATTTTGTTATATTTATCATATTTACATTCATACACATGCAGAATCTCAACCTTGTGTTTTAATCACCAATATAAGTCCATGATCCTTCTAAAATATTCTCGTCATTTAGCTAGATTTCTTTTTGCCAAGCTATATAATAAACATTTCAGCAAATAGAATTTAATGGAAATTATACAATATATTTTAGAAAACACATCAAATTATTCAATACAGTGAACAGTACTATCTAAAAACTTTTATTATTGATTGTAAAAAGTTTGAATTTGATTTTAAGGAAAAAAAAAACAAAAGAATCTCAAAACACACTTATTCATGGACGCTTGAAGGTGTTTTTACAATTTAGCATAGGTTAGCTCAATTAAGCTTCGGAAATGAAAAAAAGCAAATGAACGAACCCCAAAATAAAATGGAAAGAATACCACATGAAATATTTTTCTCTGCATCAAGTTGACACTTGATAGTATGTATCATGCCGAAAGGCGCTCTACCATGAGATAGGTGATGGGAATGTTGAAGTGAAGCTGCAAAAGCAAGAAGAAAAAGAAAATATTAACTAATCTGAAAGAAGTATTGACGAAATAAATAATCCGAAAATTAATCGTATATGAACAAAGCAACAAAGATATGAAAATGAATGAAGAATCCAATTAGAAGACAACACCTACTCTACGATTTCTTTCCAGTAGGAGTCATCGGCTTCATCTTCCATAATTAGCTTCTCCCAATCCTCATAGATAGTCGTGTCTGGTGCTGTATCGGTCTTGTTTTCCATCTGGTTAATTGGTGAAGTCTCAAGAGATCCTGAAATCAACTCAGGAAGTGGATTTTCTGTTCGTTCAAAGGAATTGTTCAAACTCTGATTGTTCATGTCAAGGCTATCATAGTTGAATCCACCTTGAAAATATTCCGATGGGATTTCTACAGCCTGGTCGTTACTTAAAGTTTGAGGGATTCCACCAGCGTTATTTGGAGTACTCTGAGGTGTTGGGGTTACTTCTTTAGCAGATAGGGTGCCTGTTGTATTAAGCACTCCCTCAAATGGGTACAGATCTTGGGATCCAAGGAAACCAGAACTCTCAACATTTGCAAGTTTGTTTGCGTTCATTATTTGCATTAGGTTTTGCAATAGTTGGGCTTTGGCTAGTTGAGCGGCATCAGCCTGTAGTTTAAAAGCTGTGTCCCAAGGGTTCATCAAGTTGGCTAATTGTGCGGCACAAAGCAACGGGGAAAGATGTAAAAGATGATCAACGTCAGTTCTTGGCTTGTGGGTGTGAGGGTCAATTCCCATGTTCAGGAGCTTTTTCCTGATGTGGGTATTCCAAAAGTTCTTGATTTCATTATCTGTTCGTCCAGGAAGATGAGTAGCAATCCTAGACCACCTGCAAAATGAAGGTAAATAAAAGATGTTAGATGCTTTTTTTAAATCCCAAACATATCTATATGCACAGATTTTCCAAATCCTCTAAGAAAACTATGCATGAGAAAAAATATATATATGTACTTGTTTCCAAGAAACGAATGAAGGTTAATAATAACTTTTCTTCTTCTTCAGTGAATCTTCCTCTCTTGATATCAGGCCTCAGATAATTAGTCCACCTTAGTCTGCAACTTTTGCCACATCTGTTTAAGCCCGCAAGCTTTGGAAGAACCCTCCAACTTCCATGGCCATGTTCGTTAATGTAATCAATCAACTTCTGATCTTCCTCCGGAGTCCACGGCCCCCTTTTCAGATTGGCATCCTCTGCGCAGCATGGAGACCTACCCATTGCCCTGATTCGAAACTAACAAATTAACCAGGAAAGAATGAGATATTAAATTGAGATAAAAATGGAGAATCTCTCCTCTTGGTGAAGGGTGTTTAATCTTTAACAAAGGAAAAGGAGTTTAATTTGGATATTCCGAGGAGACGACAAGCACCTGGTTTTATAGGTGCATGCCTTACGTGATTCAAACCAATGATGTCATTGACATTCTTTCTTGCATTATAATATACCAAGTTTCCCATAGCAAGACAAAGACCCGGAAGTAACCTGGCAGCTCATAATTCTTTTAGCACTATTTAAAGAACCCTAAAACCCGTCACGTGCCATTATTATATTATAATTAACCATTCAATTCAGAATTGGCCCGAGTTAGGTTATTTCTGCATGCAAAATGTAATTTTCAATTTAATTGAACCATCCGTAAATCTAGTTGAATTTTATCAAGCACGTGTCAACAATGATTTTCAGCAGAATGCAGTGATTTTGGTGGTATAATATAGGGTTGACCTTGAAAGGCAACAAAAAGCTCCCGGGTCAAACACTTGGGATATAGTAGTTGAAGCACAGTAGTTTTCCTTTGATTTCTCTTTTCCCCCAAGAAATAGAGATTTAGTATTTACATTTCTTAATTTTCAATTACACAAGAATTTGCAGTTCTAAAGAACGCAATAAGAAAACCTGGATTCTATACAGCCCATAAATATATGAATATATTTTGTGCAAAAATTTAAAGGTAAAATTACGTTTCAGATTATACATATTTGAATGCTCCCCAGATGGAGTATCTATGTCTCCTGACAATGATTCTCGGCAGATTACCTTTAATTCATTCTTAAACCTTTTTCTAATCTTAAACTTTATGCCCTCATCATATCAGTCAGCAGTTTTGTCAATTTCCAGCAATATTGACATCATTTGAATTGTTAATTCGGCTAAGTTCAATGTTCATATAAATTAATTCCAAAAAACTGCAGCAGTCTCTAACTGCTCTTTCATTGTTTTCCCCTTTTTGGTAAATCATCCAGTCGCCAAAGCTGCCTTTCTTTGAGTAATTAGTCTTTTAAATACCAGCCTGACAGTCTCCTTCTCTTAAGTTGAGTTTGATTCAAATTCAACATGCATAAAGCAAGATCATGACCACGAAAAAACAGTAAAATTTATTAAAAAATAATCAAAAATTAAGATAAAAAGGGGATATATCTTCCGCGTTAAGGTCATCAATTCTTGCATGAAATCTTTGAGTTTGAACCTAATAATCAATTGAACATTAGAGAACACATTTGCCTTGAGAAATTCAGCCGAAGTTGATCTTGTTGTTTGGCACTTGGCAGGCAGCAATAAAAGAGAGAATAAGAAGACTATAAAGCTGTGCTTTAATTAATTAGAAGTCGCTAGCTCTGATGAAATTATATGTCTACTTCTGTATTCCTGATAATGAGCTAAGTTATTATATATGTTTTTACTTGCTATAGATTAACTGGTCAAATTACATCCATGCATTAATTCTAACTTCAAAACCAAATATTTACCAACCCTTAAAACATATAGATAAGCCAATGAATGCGTTAAGCTCTCGAATCACCTGTCTAGGAAAAACATTATGAAAGCCATTATATATTCCTTTTTTGAAGTATAATCAAACTTTGCTACAAAAGGAATACCATAATACATGAGTAAAAGCAAGATTTGTCAATATGGCTCCTTAATCATGGATGTAGTAGTGATATTTGAATATGCTGCTAATTTTGCCCAACAAAATCAATAGCAGGTAGAATTCACTGCATTTTTTTTGTTTGTTTGACACTGCCTTCATAATCTCAATATATAGGTTGACTTTCCTATAAATATATTTGGTTAGATGTAGGTATTTTATACAAATCAAAAGGTTGATATATACTTAAAATACCTTTGGGTCAATGAGCAGATATGGACGGTAGGATCTGCTGGACGGTTCAAACTTTCTTAGCTCATATTCTTCTTTGACAAGTCTGTTAGATGAGAAAATGATAGAAAATTATAGGGATTAACAAATAACTTGTACACCTTACATATAATATCAAACTTGGATTCATCAGGGACGACCTTGGGCTGCAATGATTAAAAAGACAAGAAGAAAACAACTGTCAACTCTCAACTAGAAATTATAAATTAGAACAAACGTCAACGCATTTGCTGTCTCTTTGGACTAGGATAAAAACACCGGAGAAAACAAAAGTACAACCTCAAGTGTTTTTCAATTTCTTCTCACTGCAAGAAATATCCTAAAGCTATCTTCGGTTTGCTTGCCAATTATTTTATTTTTATGGCGGCTGTCAATAGATTGTCGCCAACGGTATAACATGGAAAATACTAATCATCTTTGAAGATTGTTAGGAACAAGGCAGGAATTTGCTAGGGGTGCGTATGCTTCTTTATTATATGGCATGCACCGAATGTAGCAGAAACATAGGAAAGAAACTAGTTGTAAAAAAAAAAAAAGAACACTCATTATATGACCAAAATGAAATGACTATCAATTTTGCAAAAAAAAAAAAAAATCAAATTTCCCTATGCTTTTCCGCCGTTCTCTCCAAAACCAACAGAGGGCTCCGAGGTCATATCAATAGTAACCATGAACTAATGGTAAAAAGTACCGCTTGTACGGCATCCTCCGACATATATCATTATTTCTAAAGCTAAAGTTAGAAATAAAGATAGTCCATTTAGCGTTAAATCATGGTTCAATCTTGCTCACTCATTCATTCCACTTTGACCGAACATCTGGTGAAAATGGATAGGAATAAAGTGGTCAGACGAGGAATAGAATGCAGCCAATGCTGTTGTAGAGGTCGAATGGTTCAGCCATACTTTGGTCAACAAGGACAGTTGATGGTTCGTGTTACCAAATAATGTCGCCAAGGCCAATGTCATCGATTGATCTACCCTGTACGTATGTGAGATTAAGGTTTTTATATATTTTTCGTCTCTGATCAAACTGCAGTAGTGTCATGCCACCGACCTAAAATCCTCCAATATTGGAAATTGAATCCCTATTGGGCTTTTTGGCTCAATATCACTCGTGAATCGTGATATATTATTGGGCTGATTTGGCCCAAAAATAAAAATTGTACGTAGCAAGGTAATAAATGTGAAAAAGCTCATTAGCCCACATTTTGCCCAAAAGACAATTACATTTGCGGCTAGTTTGGGAACTTGGGCTGGGCCTGTTCACCCCTTTCATTTTATTTCAAACTTTAAAACAGTTAACATAGGCGGCGACAGTGGCCTCTCTGTTCGCCGCACCAACAGTCTAACACCAACTTCAACCATCCCCTGTTTTCCTTTTTAATTCATTTTTGCTTCCTTTTCTTTATCCCGTCTCCACCGCCTCTCTCCATAAGGAAGCGCCGCGACCGTCCAGCTTCATTGCCGTGAGTTTCCTTCTTCTTTCTTTTCTTTTCTCATCCTTATGCTTTAATTTCAATAAGCCAGGGACTAATAAACGGCCACCGCAGTTATTAGCTTTAGTAACTTTTAAAGTTGTTTTTAGTTCGAATCTCTTAGGCTTTAGGATCTACTGTGGAGATGCCTTCAAAGAAGAAGCAATCTAAGACGCCTTCAAGGCAATCAAACTCTGACCCTTCAGCGTCTCCGCGGACACCATCTGTGACTTCTCTAGATTCAGAAGTTAGTGAAGAAGATCTTAGGTGCTCTTTTGAACAAGTTTCGAGGCGATATCCTTCACTTATTGGACAATCTGCTTTCATTGGCCGGGTTAATGATGTTGACTCCGAAACCAGAGGCTGTAAAATTTGGCTGTCAGAAGGTTCTATGGTTGCTTCTTACCTCACTCCTGGTTCATTAGTATCGGTAATTTGCTATTTCTAGTATGTGATATGAGATTGCTTGTAAGCTCTATGGCTGACTTATATTCTAATCCCATTGCTAGGTCTCGCTTGCTGCTTTGAAGAATAAACATTCAAATGGGTTTCCTCTAAGCTCAATAACAGATGAATGTGGTAAACTTTTTGGTGTTGATTTGGCCAATGAAACTGCAAAAGAAGTTGGAAACTACTTTGCACTTGCTACCGTTTTTCCATCTTGTAAGGTTCGAGTGACAATCTTATTGTAGTTTAACTCTCTTTATATTCTATCTTTTCCTTTTTTGCTTATGAATATAAAAAAAAAAAAAAAAGATCAGGTGGGCTACACTATGAAGTTGGAGAAAGTGGATGCTTTCTGTACTGTTTTACCTACTGTAGATGCTTAACAATTACATAAAAGTTGGTTACTTCTTAATGGAGATGGTAACTACTTATGAAGTTCATTTAGTGCATTATTGCTTGCTGGGTCTTTTGGGGCTGCATATTTGCATCCGTATATGGTTGCTCTAGCTAGGCATATTTCTTATGGTGAATTGATGGAATCTCATATAAATTTATACCATTGTTAATTTGGTGTTATAAATCATGGTTTTATTTGTCTTGCTATAATTTGTAAATTATGGACTTGAAGCTATTCCTTAACCTACATCTTCTTAATTTTGGAGATTCGATTCTCTACCTTCATTTTCTTCTTTTCTTTCCAGGTTTTGAAGAATGGAGTGAGATTGTCTGCAAACCTTTCAAGCACACTGGGTTCTCCCTCTTCTGGCAGCATTGTGTTGGTTCACCCTATACAAAGTGAATTTCGAAATGGTCTTGTACATGAGAGTGAAAAGGAACATAACCCAAGTGTTAATTGCCTCTCATTATGTAGCTGCAAGCAATTGCATCTAGAGCTGACTTCTTTTAAGAATACAGTAAAAACAAGCAATGATTTGTCGTCTAAAATGGAGTTTTCTACAGGAAACTCTTATGATCGATTTGAGAATGGAATAATATCTTCCCCTCAGACACCATTATGTCAGCCAAAGCTGAGTTCTCATTCTGGTCAGTTAGCTTCACCCTTGTGTGAAGGCTCAACATCAAATTTCTCCAAACCAAACGGTTTATGTGTTGATTCATTTGATGTTAAAGAGATATTAAGGGATGAGAGTTCTAAGAAACTTCTAGAGACCTGTGCTGCTTCATGGTTGTATTCGCGTAATCTACTCTGTGGAAATATTGTGGCCATTCCAATACTTTCAGCGCTTTGCATTTTCCGTGTGAGAGGTGCTGGTTTCACTAATCAAGATTTGATGAATGGAAGGAATCATAGTTTGCCCCCACAAACTATTGAATCAATGGAGCATGTGAATAATGCTTTTGTTGTAGACCATGAGACTAAAGTATACTTATGTTTACCATCAGATTTGTCATCTGAAACTCTAGCTGAAAGACCTTCATCATGTGTGCAATCTGATCTTGAGGATGTGAAAACCACTATGGAGCCTGATATTTCAGAACTGGGTGGCTTGTCCAAAGAATATGCAGTATTGAAGGAAATTATTTCCTCATCTGTGAAGAATGCTTTGTCAAGGTATATGATATAAATTTGCTCTTGCTTGTTTTCTTTGAACTACTAGTATTATTCATAAGTCTGTTATATACTGTTATATAATATACTTTTCTATTCCATGAGAGCTTTTTTATTTTCCTTGTAAATAAAATGTTATGATGCTGAATGTGGGAACGTTCATTACGATGAAGATACCAGGCATGTTCTAATGTTTAGAGTGTAAATGTTTGTAAAAAAGAAAATTACAAAGGATTTGATTTCACACTAACTGTAAGAGCTGGTTACTTTTAAGCTCTAGAACTTGTTTTACGTACTTGACCAAAGTTTGGTTCATGATCAGCTAACTGGAATCAGGTTGTGGGGGCTTGAAAATGGAGCTTGGGACTTAAAATGTATATATCATGCAGGTTGTCATTTCTCTGACAGGGAAAATTTTCTCTTTTCATTTTTTAATTGAATTGGGATTCTGTTATTCTTTTAGCAGTAGTGTGTACTTGTTGCTGTTTTCTCAGATGTTGGAGTTCACTTATGCGTTAATTCACAAATACTTTTCTTTTTCATTTTATCCTTTTCCTTTCATCTGTTTCACGTAGTAAAAGTTAAATGTCAATTGCTAATGTAACTGTTTTAGTTTTGGTTTACAAACTACAAAGGGAGTGCTTCTTCATGGTCCACCTGGAACAGGAAAGACTTCCTTGGCACGGTTATGTGTTCATGATGCTGGTGTCAACCTTTTCTACGTGAATGGACCCGAGATTGTTAGTGAATATCATGGAGAAAGTGAGCAAGAATTGCACAAAATTTTTGAGTCAGCTACACAGGCTGTGCCTTCTGTGGTTAGATTTCTTCTCTCAAAGTCCTTGTTACTTTTGCCTACTTCTGCCCCGAATGCCTTACCCTTCCGTGATTAAGTTGTTGAAACACCAGAGAAAATGAGTGAAAATTTCTTGGATATGAGATGTAGTGTCAAATGTTAACATGTCAGTTTTAACCTTCAATGTTATCTTTTGAAGAAAAAATATTGAAGGTTACATCTTCCAGGGACACTTTGCATACTCTCCTGTGCCTCTTCTCCGAGATGCAACCTAACTAACAGTTCCTCTATGTAGGTGTTCATTGACGAGTTGGATGCCATAGCTCCTGCACGGAAAGAAGGAGGTGAACAGCTATCTCAAAGAATTGTTGCTACTTTGTTGAATTTGATGGATGGAATCTGTAGAACTGATGGAGTACTTGTGATTGCTGCTACCAATAGGCCTGATAGCATTGAGCCTGCACTTAGACGGCCTGGAAGACTTGGCAGGGAACTTGAGATTGGTAAGATAGTGGTTTTCTTCTTTGTGATGCTATCACATACTGGTTTTATTCAGGGGTAAACGTTAATTCAGTTATAATTTAACTAAGACAAAAGGTGCACTACACTCTTTTATTTTTTTGCCCAAAGGTGCATGGATGGAAGAAATGAGGAAAAGATATCTGAGCTTAGTGATTTCCCTTAATAGGACTACTACGATATCTCAGAAATAAATGGATATCATTAATGTTCAAGTCTGTAAACTCTAAGTGCATTTTACCTTGTTCAAGGAAGCCTGTGAAACCAAAAATGAACTTAGAATAATAGGTTTGTGTAATTTCTTTTGTTGCTAACCCAATCAATGCAAATACCCAATAATAGATCTTCTCCTTTGTCTGATATGCTGTCTGCTTTTATTGATATCGAAAATTCACATGCAGGTGTGCCGTCTCCAAAGCAACGACTAGATATACTCTGTACTCTTCTCAGCAAAATGGACCACTGTATTTCAGATATGCAAGTTCAGCAACTTGCCATGGCTACACATGGCTTTGTGGGTGCTGATCTAGCTTTCCTTTGCAATGAGGCAGCCCTAGTTTGTCTAAGGCGTTACACCAAATTTAAAGTGAAATGTCAAGGTTTGGATTCTTGTGGAATACCTATTACATATGTAGCCCAGGCAGGCAATAATATGGAAGAAATGGAATGTGGAAGTGATTTAAGAGACACTTCAACTATTTTTTCAGATTCTTCATCTTCTTGGAAAATGAATTTCCCTGATTCTGCTGGGACAGTCTCACAAATAACATCTGGTAACCCGAATTGTAATAACAATATTTCTGAAGGGATGCCTTTGATGAAAGAAAATTGCCTGCTAAGATTGGCTTTTGAAGATTTTGAAAAGGCCAGGATGAAAGTGAGACCTAGTGCCATGCGTGAGGTATGACTAATATATCATTTTTTCTTGTCATTTATTTAATGCAACCGATGTCTACTATTGCATTGACAATATCAAAGAACCCCAGCTGCTGTGTGTACAACATTTTCTTCTAACATGATTTTAGAGCATTTTTAACTAAAAAGGATCAAAGCTGCAATTTCATAGAGTTGCAAGTTGATTTCATTTACCTTGTATTCAACCTTTTTTCTCTGCTTTTAGGTCATACTTGAGGTTCCAAAAGTTAATTGGGAAGATGTTGGGGGTCAAAGGGAGGTCAAAAATCAGTTAATGGAAGCTGTTGAGTGGCCTCAAAAACACCAGGACGCATTCAAGAGGATTGGTACTCGTCCTCCCACAGGGGTGTTGATGTTTGGACCTCCTGGTTGTAGCAAAACCCTCATGGCTCGTGCTGTAGCTTCTGAAGCTGGATTGAATTTTCTAGCAGTGAAAGGTCCTGAACTTTTCAGCAAATGGGTTGGTGAATCTGAGAAGGCAGTAAGATCCCTTTTTGCAAAGGCAAGGGCTAATGCTCCATCAATCATATTTTTTGATGAAATTGATAGCCTTGCCATAATTCGTGGAAGGGATAGTGATGGGATTTCAGTTTCTGATAGGGTCATGAGTCAACTTCTTGTTGAGTTGGATGGTTAGTATTAGATGTGAAGCATTCAGTCCCCTCTTATATTTATGGTGCTTTCATTCATATACTTTGCTTTTTCTTTTTACAATCATACATTGCATCATCTATGGTGCTTTGCTGATACATAGAGAATTTTAATTTAAGACAACTTCATTTTGCTTTAACCTCCCTTCAGGAGATTCCATCTCACCTATTTGGATTATCATTGGAATGTAGCTTGTTTGCTCATATGGGATAAAAACATGCTGTAGTTTTTTAAATATAATGAGTTGATTGAAAGTTTTGCTGATCTAGGTTTGCATCAAAGAGTTGATGTTACTGTTATTGCTGCGACTAATCGACCAGACAAGATTGACACTGCACTTTTAAGACCAGGTGTTTTTCCTTCTCTCTCCTTCCCCTCCACTGTTCATGCACAAGCATACACACACCATTTTGATAATCTTCCAGTCCTTATGGTATAAACATGATTACCTTCTTCATAATATTTAATAAAAGATTTGTGCAGGACGTTTTGATCGACTGTTATATGTCGGACCACCAAATGAGAATGACCGGGAAGATATATTTCGTATCCATTTGCGCAAAATTCCTTGCAGTTCTGATGTCAGCTTAAAAGAGCTTGCTTATCTCACAGAGGGCTGCACTGGTGCTGATATATCGTTGATTTGCCGGGAGGCAGCTGTCACAGCTCTTGAGGTTTGTGAGTTCAAGCTGTGTTTTTTGGACAGTTTTTACCTGTGTTGATTTAACATTACTTTGCAATCAGGAGAGCCTTGATGCTGAAGCAGTAACAATGCGTCACTTAAAAGCTGCAATCAGACAAGTACGGCCATCAGATATTCACTTGTATCAAGAGCTATCAGCTAAGTTTGAAAGGCTTGTTCACTCCAGCGCTGTAGAAAAGACATTAGGATCTCAACGGTGCTCAACTGGGTTCACCTTGTGGTACATCTCTTCTTTTACTTTACTTTTCTCCATATCATGTCATTGAGATTGATTAGCTGTGATGTGTCTCTCTTTCTCTAATAATCTGAATGTGTGAAATATGCATCGCAGCTGAATATATCTAAACATGTGAATGGCATATTTGCATTGATCTTGAATTCTGGATTTTTGTCAAATTTGGCATTACTGTACGTGTAATGTATCCTTGGGTAAATATGGTATAACTGAAGGTTTGTTTTCTTCTGTGGCCCGTGGGGGTCAGAGTGTTTGATACCTTCAAATTAATAGTAAATGTGTTGGTGTCTGTCATGGATGTCTTCGTTGATGCATTAAAGTACATTACACTTTGCAGTTTGCAATATATAATAGCAACATACGACTTGTGATAGCTCATAACGGCCATTGTTTCCCATTAAATTTGGGCTTGGTATTTGTTTTACTCTGCATTTTTTTCGTAAGAATTTTATCATCCATACTTTTGAGGAAATTAACTGATTGAATGTGGCTTCTTCTCTTAATCTAATGCAGCCAGACCCTGATAAAATATGTCTCACGGTTCTTTGCTCGCTTCCCAGCAGCCAATTTACACTAAAAGTCTGCTACTAATGGGTAAAACCATAGATTCCTTTGGCAATTTAAAATTCATTGAACATTGACATTGAACATTGACATCGAGTTGCTCTCCAAAGAAGGGTAGTGATTTTCTATTAGCGATCATTTGGCAGTGGAATGGAGTTCAGTTGATCCTAGTGGTGATACAGTAGTGCCATCAGCGCCATGGTAATAGAAGAAAAGAGGCAATTGGACTATGGAAAGAAAGAATATTGTAAATTTGGTAATTATCAGAATCATTTTCTTTCAACATCCCTCTCCCGATAGTCAATTTACTTCCCCTGTTATCTTTAATAACACTACTGGGTAGATTTGAAGTTGTTGCTCGGAGAAATTTGTATTTATACCTGCCAAGGTCAAGACAAGAGCAGATGATGCTGATTTGCTGAAGTGAAATGGTAAATGTGATCTAAAGAATCAATAGAACATAAAATATACCTATAGAAGACTTGGTGGTCGCAGTGAAATGCAATCAAAATATCAGTATTCACATAATACATGAAATCTATCAGCAAGAAAGGTCGGCATTTAAGCTTCTAAATTCTTAAAACCTCAACAAGATTTGCTTATCAGCGGAAGTACAGCAACACCTGCAAGTCTCCATGGCCTTCTCCTTTAAATGTAACGCAAGGGGGGACTGGCTGTAGAATGATCTGGATGCTTGACCCTGGCCATTCTAGATCAACAATTGCCTCTTTTAGTGCCGCAGACTGAATGAAAGACAATTATGGTTGTAATTTTTTGTTGTAACAATTGATTGAACCTAAACAGGATCCTAAATCCAACTTCCAACCATGTAATATCATCTATATGCTTCTGTAATATGAAAATGCCACACTTAATTTAATCTACCAGGGTTTATTAATTCATCATTTAGCTCTACCTTTTCATTGGCTAAAAAATAGTATTAGATGAGGTTACAATGTTATTTTAAGCAACAAAGCACAAGGTAAGTGAAATCGATTTCTGTTGATCTTAAGTCGTGTTCAAATCAAAACAAGGTCATATCCTTTATGAATATCTGTTTTTGTTTATGTTGTTAAAGTGGTAACAGCATCCTACCTCAGTCTAGTGATCTTTAAGAAAAGCACTACAGGTAAGCATTCTCTATTGGAGAAAGGGGGCATCAAGAGAGGGTTTGCAGCAACCATTAACAAATGTAAAAGTACAGGGTCCAAGATCTTCCTTGCTTTTTTTGAAGAGGGCAATATCGATATTCCTAGTTTACTATTATACCCTTATCAATTTCGCAAATAGGCCGACAGAACCTCTTAAATTTGTTCCAAACAGTGTGTAAAATAGTAAATTGACTTTTCTTGTTCTTTATTGTTTTAGTTTTGGACTATAGACTATGAGCCAGTGGGCCTTATAGCTCTAAACCCAAAGCTCTGTTCTTTGAATTAGATCCTGAATTAGAACTGGGTTATTCCTCCAGGATTTCTTGAGTTCAGTCATATTAGGCAGCGAAATGATTGCTTTTGCTGAAAAAAAAGGGAAAATTAAGGTCAGCTCTCTCTTTTTCTCTCTCAAGTTTGCTCTTGTGATGAATAATCTGACTGTATGTTTTGCGTCTGCATCTTCTTTTTATGTAATTTAAATCTCTCTCTATACTAGTTCTGGATAGGAACATTGCTGTGGTTAATAGAAAATTAAAATTTGTAATTTGGGTCATTTCTGGTTCATAACGGAATTGTTAAGGTTGTTGGTTGGTGAAAAGTTAAATATGAGTAAACAGAAAATTTTTATTTAATGTTGGAACTGCTCCTTTTATTTGCAAGATTGGTGGATTGATTCGTTCTGCTTCAATCTGTTCAGAATTCTTATGTTTGTTTGTCCCAAGCATTTGATTTAAAGCAGAAAGTGTCCTAGCATGGGATTTTCATGTAATTTCCTATCCATTTTGTTTCTTCCATTTCAGTTACTCTATGGCAATTCGACAATGTAATCAATTATGCTTTTATCAGAAACTGGCAATCCTGTGGATGTTCTTTTCTGGTGCTGTCTCTTGCATGCTTGTCGTCTCGTCTTCAAGTGAGGTCAGTGGGCTTGATAATTGTTCACATTAGCTATCTCTACTATCATGGATGTTAGTTGTTAGTAAAAATGAAATCAGTTGCCGTTGTAAATAGTTTAGGAGATTTATGGTATAGGTACCTGCCTAGCTTCTTAGTTACATTAATACAATTATGCCTTGCCAGAGCCAACAGCTAAGCTTTCAAGGAATTTGACATACCTTAATTTTCAGGTTGAAATGAGGGGTCCATCTCATTCCCAGCATTCAGGTGCCAGGAAATATATAGTGAAATCTTATTTTGAGAAATATGAGAACCTGTGTGATTCGAGTTTTGAAGATTTTATGGCACATGAACTTTCTTCCAGTTTGTGTCAAGTGTTTCCTGATAATCGGAATCTTGACGTGAGGCTATCAGTTTTAGAGCACTCTCTGGTTGGTGAAGGTTCGCATTGTCATTTATCTTCATCTATCAAATTGCAGATTGAGGCAGACTCCATTCCTAAATTGCCTGCTCATTTCTGTGAAGTTATAATTATACAAAGACTGCCCCTGGGTGTTTTTGCTGACCCATTTGAACTACAACATCTTCACGAGCGCAAGGGTGAACAGCAATTGATTTTCCTTGTGATAAAGACAGACTATTTGTTTTGTTAAAACTAGGCTTACTGCTTGCATTGTATTCTGTTTTTGAGGTTAATTTATGCATTCTACTTGTTGCAGTGTTTACAAATGTAGCTGTTTTTGGAGACACCAACTTAGAATTGCCTTCATTTCGGTCCAATCGATCTGTTGTTGAAGTCCACATGGATGCCGGATCCAACATCTTTTCAGAGCAGAATAACGGATTGGAAATGAACATAGAGCTTCCATTACATGCAAGATATCAGGTAAGCTAAAGGATTTCAATACTATCACTTTTCAAATAATTTGCAGTAGATGCAACTATCAATATGAACTTCAAGCATCAGCCATATTTGATTTTTGTCATTCACATGGCAAAAAACGCTAATAGCATCTGTAGATGTGTCAAATGTGGGTATTTAGTGAAAATTGAAAATTTTTTTTTCCTTTCCTTTTTCTCTGTTTTGCAGCCCCTGGATGAAAGTGGCTATTCGATTGTTGAAATTGGTGAACCTGATGTACTGTTGAGCTGCAGCATGGAAGGAAAACAATATAATCAGAGTTGTTTGTTTATGTCACCCAATGACAGTGCTAAATCCAGAATCGGTGCTGTTGCATGGAGAATACCTTCTGGGATGAAGGCACATACTGGATTTGTATCAGTTGTTACCTTTGTTACAGCCTTCTTATCAACTCTTTCAATTGTAGTGACATCCATATTTTGTTCAGGCATCAAGGTGTCCAAAAACATGAAACAATCTTAGCCAACTTCTGTTTCTACGCAATAAATTTGTTTTTATGGGACAGATAACACGTCTGTCACTTAAAAGACTTTTGACATCATTTTTTCTGAGTTTAATGTCTTTAAGTTATGTTTAAAGTACTAGCTTAGATCAAAAGTTTAATGTCTTAGGTTACTGAATCGTTGACTCAATCCAGTTGAGGAATATTGATAGCCCGCCTAACGGGAAAATTGATAAAAGTAAATTAATCTAACACTGCTCCACCAGAGGCTGTAGCAGACACGTTACTGAACGCCAGAAAAGTTGCTTGACGCTATAGGACAGAATCAGAATGCCATGGAAGTAATGGCACTCTATAAATGCATACATGTTGATATGAAAAACCAAAGAATTATAGAAGCTCTTATTATAGGAAATTTCAAGAAGACAAAAGGGGACAATACACAGAAAGCTGTGATACACCCTCAGCAAACCCAGACACCAACTTACAGAAAAAGAAACACCCCGCCCAAAGATCAACCAAATATCATAATGGATGGCTGATAACCACAAAATCAAATACATTAGCAAAGCGATCACCTCTTGCTGTTTAGAATATCTTAAAATCGTTCTATGATCAAATTGGATGACCTTTTGATCAGGCTGCTAGTACTATGATCACGATGAGAAGCACAATTCCGAATATTACCAGGAGCAAGCAGGCCTGCCCAAAAATAAGTAAAGGAATTAATTCCTTGGAAGGATGGTGGAAAGTATCTTTCACTGGTGAAAGCAACTGTCTAAGATGGCTTTGAAAAGGCAGGTCACAAGACAATTTAGGTGGTGCCATCAATCATGATTCCTAGACCCACTGAACGAAGCCCCACATCATGTCCCACTATCACAATTAAAAAGGGGTATAAAGATAGTGGGAATGTCTCTCGTGATGGTGCTTTACATCCAGCGCACAATTTTAATTTAATAAAAAAAACAACCAGAGCATTTCTCGTTACCAGAGAAGAATTTGATCTCTGTGTCTTTGCGGCTTTCACAATATGGGATTTTGCCTGTACGGTGGCAGCCTGAGAATTTTCAATGTGAGTCCCAATGTCATCTGCAGCATAGATTGACTTTCAGTACTTTTCAACATGACCCAGAAGGTCAGAACAAACATAGTTAATTCACTGCAAAAGATGAAATTCTTTACCAATTATAGCTCCTTGCTCATGAACTAGCACTGCGAGATCTTTGAAGATCTCATTGACCTCACCAATTTGCTGCTGAATTTCTTGAATTCCTTGTTCTCTTTCTTCGATGATAGCCTCATTAAATGCAATCTCATTATCCAACAGCAAGACCTCCTGTCTGCAAAAGAAAAAAAAATACTCAACAGCGGCTGTAGTTGGATAATCAAATTCATAAAATCAACAACAAGATAATACAACAGATAAACAGACTATAACGAACAGCATCCATGGATCACATAAAGTTTTGTTCTGAAAATTCTGGGAACAAACAATAGAAAATACATATTGTATCTATGCATGGCATGGGGGAATGAATATGATTAATCACCCGTCCATTAAGTATTTAGAATTCACAATTCAGCAATACATGGTATCACTTGGGATCTTTCTGATTAGTTATGATGCTCCAATCTAATATATGCATATAAATATACACACACATATCAGGATAAAGAACTGGCGTGGAGGATTCATAAGAAGGAGATGGCTTAAAGGAATTTGTAAAATATAACTTACCTTCTTGATTCCACAAGAAGGGCTCGCTGTTCAGCACTTTTATCTGAACCTACATCTATCTCACTGGCCGTGTAGCTGCATATAAGAGGAAGAAACCTCCAGCATAAGAATATAACATGCAAAAGACTGAAGTACAGTTGAAGCATAACAAACAGATAGCCACTAAACAATTTGCATTTGCAACCAGTAAATGGCAGAAAATTCAGTAGTCAATATAGATGTTTTATAAGTGATTTGTCAAAACTATCTTGCTAATGACTCAATTTTCCATGTAGGCCATTAACACAAAAACATTGAATGCACTCTCCTACCCATCTATGTACACATAAACCCTACTACATAAATACCTTGAAGGAAGAACTGCCTGGGGAACAAATGGAGTGTATGCCGTTTCCCTTTCAGCTGCAACCCGTTGAGCCTTCTGAAACTCTTTCAAAACTGCTTGAAAATCTTTTGCAAGTTTAGCATCTGTTATCTTCTTGCTTGCCTACAATTACAAGGAATTAAAGGGCATCAAGCACTTCCTGAGGGGAAAAGGGAGATAGAGACAGGAGGCATTGAGTGGTTCTCCTTTTAGCAATAAGTTCAATAACCTATGCATGAATTACCATGAGTTGGAATAGAACAAAAGAAACATTAGGAATAACAAACACCATAGGTCCACAGCTATCATCATTCATCTCCTCTTTGTTGATTTAAAAGGTAACAGAAACCTACTTGGTCGACAGAATCAACCAAAATCAAAACCAAACTTACGCTAACTTCAGCACGGTGATCTGTTTCACTAGCTTGTTTCAGTTTAGCCGAAGTGTCCTTCACTAATTGCCCAATATGAAGCCTCGCTTTATGCCTGCCAAATGAGACATGTCAGCTATACTGGCCGCACATGATCTGATTAGCATATAGTCAAAATCACTCAAGAAATCGAGAGACAGCAACTCTTTGGCGATGCAATACAATGATGCAGACCGTTAAGCGATCAAGAAAAGCCAACATTAAATATCAAGAAAAATATAAACTATTTTACAGAATTGCCACATTCAACCAAACGAAAATGAGAAATACTCTGAGCTTCCTCCAAATTGAACTTGAACAAGGGCATCATTTATCATCCCTAATTGAAACTCCCTAATGGAAAGATCGAAGCAATTGAACAAAAATAAAACCACAATTTCGTGTTTTTTGATTCAATATCAAAAGACGGTCACATTGAAATCCCTTGATCAGTTAAAATTGCAATCGAAGCCATTGAATCGGACAAGACTCACAGCTTTTCTCGGAGCTCAGGCGTGTCCTTAGGGGTCCCAAGGGTATTGACGAGTCGCTGGAAGGTGGAGACAGCAGTATTGATCTGGAAAATGCCAGAAGCCACTGCTTGCGTGGCGTCTTGTTTGCCGTTGATCAGGTTTTGCCTCGACGCCAATGGCCGTCCAGCTTCCAGATCTTGAAAGCTCATGATTGCTCCTCCTCTATATCTTATATTTGCACAAACCCTAACTTCCTCGAGAAAATTTTGAGATGAAATTTTCTTGAGAAAGTGATGGGAAAACGAAAACAACAGGCGAGAAGGCTCTTTAGTTGCACGGGGAGAGATTAAAAATCGATGGGAAATGGGTAAAAATAACGGAACCTAAGAACACGGCGAGAGTTGAGGGACTGTGACAGAGAAAAGAATTAGACGTTTTTTAAATAAAGAAATAAAATATTTAATAAGGAAAATTATCGTGCCAAGCGGCTTCTTTGGAGTGGACGGGAAAGGGACAAAGTGGGTGATGTAGAGAGGGCAGAGTGAGTTGACACCGAGTGGGCTCACTGGTTTGTTTGGGCATTCACTGGTTTATTAATTAAATAATATACATATTTTTGGTGGGATCGAAAGATAATTGGTTTTGGTCTTTTGCATTTATCTTTTTATTTATAAAAGCTTTGACGGTGAAAGGCCAATATCCAAATATCGAAGAGATGTATTTGAAGCTTAATCCAATATATTTTATTAGGATATGTCCATAAAATCTTATCTTAGTGGCAAAATCAAAGTTATCTAATAATATTTTGTTGTTTTATGTTTGTTCTCCTTTATTTCTTAAGATTTGACGGTGATTAATACGTGAAATTCAATAATAACAATAAAACATAAAAAAAAAAACTCAAATATAATTAACATGTGAAACTTATGAATTAAAGTTTGTTGAGATCCAATGTTAAAATCGTATTTTGACACGATGAATATAGATTATCATCATATTATTAAATAAATTCTGAAATAAGGTTTTTTTTTCTTTTTTTTGTTAAAGTTTTTGCTGTTTTGATTTATATAATTAGAAATTAGATATGTATGAATGATGTATTATTATCATTATATACATAAATATTATAAATTAATTAAAGAGAAATAACAAGAGATAAATTCCTAGTGAAATTGGTTCAGCCACATACTTTTCATTAGATATGTTGTATAAAATACATGAGGTTACACGATAAGTTCTAATCAGTTACAATGGCATTAATTCTAGAGATATAAACTAAATCAAAATATAGTAAAAAAAAAAATTACATATTACAACCAAGAGACAAGAGTCCCAAACAGGGAAATAAAAAATCTATTCAAAAAATAATTAAATAAAATAAATAAGAAATCAACAATCATTTTTCTTTTATATATAGTAAAAGAAAAATTAAAATTAACTTAGCTAACTATGGCTTAGTATATTAACGTGGGAGGTGGGTCCCAATACAACGATAGGAGAATCAGATCAGACCCATTAAATCGTCTCATTAATTTCTTCATTCCAAGAAACGGAATCTGTAATTATTGCCGTCTTAAAATCCCTCTATTTTCTCTCTCGCACGTGCTACGATTGCCGGCGAAGCCTGGCATTTCCATTTCCCAACCCTCGCACGTGCGTCCAAAACCTCGGTGGTCTCTCCTATAAGTAACGTGCCTCATTTTTTCCTTCTTAAGACAGGACTTTTATTGATCGGCTTAAGCCCTCATCTCTGTTGCTCATTTGACCATGTCGTCGGTTAGTTCTTTTCCTTTCATAACACAGTTTTCCTTTTTTTCATTATTTCTTTGCAATCTGAAGTTGGTTCATATTTGCTGTTTGTTTGTTCCAATGTTTGAATCGTATTCCCTTTTGGTATGTATGTTTGTTGATCCAACAATTGGTAGAACTTTGTGCATAATGTAGTTTGAGGTTCAATGGATTCTTGGGATGACCGAATATTAATTACTTGATTAATAAAAGGGTAGGTTAATGGGTTATAGCTCTTGAGATTGCCGTCTGCATTTGGTTAAGGTCCATAACCAAATGCAGTTGAAACATATCTTACCTTTTTATATTTTTTTAGTTAGTGTGTGTGTGTGTGTGTATGATTGCTTCATTTCTTTCTACTATGTTTGCTTGTTGAATTGATTTGTGCATATGTGATAACTCAATGGAGTTCATAGGTTATGATGTGGGAGATATTATAAGCTTGCTGAGAAATGATTCTTTGGGGTTGATAATTTGCGTATATTTGCAGTTATTTCTCTTAGCCTAGCTATTATCAAGATTCAATAAGTCATACTTTATGTTGTCATTGCAGATTAAAACCATTAAAGTCAGCAATGTTTCTTTAGGAGCAACTGAGCAAGACATCAAAGAGTTCTTTTCCTTTTCTGGTGATATTGAATATGTTGAAATGCAGAGGTTGGTTGCTCTTTTAGTTCCTAGCATCTTTTTTATGTTACGTTTCTATGGGTGTAAAGGTTATTGCTCATGCAGCGATACTGAGCGGTCACAAATTGTATATGTTACCTTCAAGGATTCTCAAGGAGCAGAAACTGGTGTTCTTCTTTCGGTAATTCAACTTCAGACTATCATTCATTTCACTATGTGTATTTTTTCATTTGAGTACATGGGAATGGTTGTCTTTTGGTTTCTTTGTTAATATTCATAATATAAGGCAATCTGCAGTGTGATTCTTGCCAGATTGTGCAATGTTGAAGAACCTTTGATCTATTGACAACGTGGATAGCTTCAGCTTTTTAAATTGAATGCCCTACTTTCCTTTTTAGAGCATGTTAAAATAATGGACATCTTCCTTTCTGGGGTCTACTTTTGCTTGGTACCTTTTCTCAAAGCTCAGAATCCATAAAACTTTAATATGAGAAAAAATATCATAACTCCAATGAAAAGTTGTGCAGTAAAAAGTTTCTTCTAGAACATATGCCATGTTCGTAGCTAAACAGTGACACCAATTTGGGAAAAAAAAGTAGTACCATATAGTTACTTAACTCTGAAGTATATGGCAATATGATATGCTTTAATAGAAATTTTACTTACCCATATATTAAGTTATAAAGAATTGCTTGACAGACATATATTCATGTTGCAGATGTGGATTGGCTAGCCAACATTAATTTGTTCTCAATATGGCATATGAGTTATATAAGTGATTAAGTACTTGTGTTTCAGGGAGCAACAATAGTTGATATGTCTGTCAGTATTACTTTAGCTCCAGACTACAAGCTGCCTCCTGCTGCTTTTGCATCGCTTCATGTAAGTGTCACACTCTATTGGTAGTTTAAATGCTAAAACAAGGCTCACATTGTTTTACATTTTCTGCAGGCTACTCAAAATAAAACTCCCGGTGGTGCTGATTCTGTTATTCGAAAGGCAGAGGATGTTGTCACTGGAATGCTTGCTAAGGGCTTTATCTTAGGCAAAGATGCAGTCAACAAGGCAAAGACCTTTGATGAGAAGCATCAGTTAACATCAACAGCCTCAGCTAAGGTATCATCTTTTGACAAGAAAATTGGGTTCACTGAGAAGATCAGTGCTGGTACTACTGTCGTTAGTGACAAAGTACGAGAAGTGGATCAGAAATTTCATGTTTCAGAGAAAACCAAATCAGCATTTGCTGCTGCTGAGCAAAAGGTCAGCAGTGCAGGATCTGCCATAATGAAGAACAGGTATGTATTCACTGGAGCTTCATGGGTAACAGGTGCTTTCAACAAGGTTGCAAAAGCAGCAGGAGATGTTAGCCAGAAGACAAAAGAAAAGGTGGTAGTGGCTGAAGAGGAACGAAAAAGAAAAGTGATCGATGACTTTGCACAGATTCATCTATCTGAGTCCCCTAAAGCTTCTGCACCAAGTGAACAACCTTCCAAGCATACACCAGCACAAGGATTGATTCTTTGACTTGCTTCATCTGTAAATAATTGTGAAATTTTGGAATTGGATTCTGTGGAAATGCTGAATGTGGGGCAAATCTATCCCATAGCATTTCATATAATTAACCATCTTCTCGGCCAGAATGTTGAATGAATTGAAATTTACGTTGTTGTTGGTGATTCCTTTTAGTTTTTAGCTTCTCATGGCAAGCCTGTCCTTGAAAATAAACATTTTATTTGCTAAATATTTAATAAAGAAACGTCGCCCACGAAACTGATTAACTGAGTCGACATAAAACCTCAATTTCAGTAACCCACGCCTCCCTTAAGCCCCCCACCCAACTCTGCCTCTTCTGCAAATACTGGACATAGCTATGTTGATCCATCGCACACCATCCAACAAAACCCTCCACCTCCGCTTCTTCTCCCAAGCCGCTCTCGCACTCGACCAACCATCAGCATCACCTTCACCTCTATTTCCATTGAGCTACCTCGAAGGCTTCGCCAAGCCCGATCCGAAATACGCCAAGACTATACATCGCCATCCCACGCGCAACGTCCGGCTAAAGCATCGCCGCCAAAGAAAGAAAAGTGGGTCGAGTCCCAAGCATCATTTTTGAGCAAAAAGATGGCCAATATGGAGGCAACAAAAGGCTCCTTTCTGTTCAAACCAATCAGGTCAGAAAATTGGTTAAGCATCTGGGCCAATCTTTTTTCCTTTCTAGGCTTTTTGATCTTGAGGTCCGCTCAGAGTTTGGGTCCGGTGATTTGATTGAGAAAGTCCGGGTTCTCCCCAGGATGGTAATGGTCTTTTCGGGTTTTTCTTTAGTTCACTAAATTTGATTAATCTAATTGTTATTTTTCTTTGTGAATTTGGAGCCAGTGTTTCAGCTTCATTTGCATGCGGGGACTGATGCACATCTTAATGTGACCTTCATAAGGGCGCCTTCCCATGCTTTGTTGAAGGTGGATGTTCCTCTAGTCTTCAGAGGAGAAGATGTACGCCCTGGACTAAGGAAAGGCAACGAGCTGCAATGAAATTTTCTTTCGTTGATATAATTTCATTGATTAACGATTTTTGTTCATGATTCCATTGCTCAAAGGATGAGGTGTATGTGGACTCTTATCGTGAAATATTAATTCAATAATTGGTAATTGCATTTCTTTTTGTGTTTAGTTTCAGCTCTGCTGACTTATGTTTTATTTAAGTAATAAGTACTATGGAAAGTTTGTTTTATTTTCAATATTAACAGTAGATTTATATGCATCCTTAGTTTTTCATATTAATATCATGTCAATTAACAGGGCCATTTCTGTCTGGTTTTTTTATTTTCTCTTTGTGATATGTATAAGGTTTATCTTCGCAAACTTCCCCTAGTACAGATGAATAATGTTGGTGTTAATTCTGATCATCCAACGTAATGATTTCCATTTAGACATATGGAGATGATTTGATGTCATAACTCATAACTAGCATTCCTTCTAGAGACAAAAAATCGTTGCGTCACTCTCTCGAGGAGTGCTCATACTTTCACAATTAGTAGTTTTAGATGGAAGGAAGCTAGTGATATTACTGGGTATAGTGCCATACGAATTTTGTTGTTTGATATTACTATTTTTGTATTTTCTTTTATCCATTCAATTGTGTTATTCTTACCATAACAAACATTAAGCATAGCAGGCAACAGGAAGTTAAATATTTGTCAGAAAAATCTGATGTTGCCTATGCATAATCCACAGTTTGAAGGTTATCATAAATTCCTTTTGCTGCTCCACAAGTTGTATATGAAGTTTAATATGTTTTAAATTTTTACTTTGGTCATGTTGAATCTCATTTGATGCATTCCTTATTGCTATAACCAGTATATTCTTTCGTCTATATTTGTTAAATATCACTTATTTCACAAACCTGGCGGGGTTGTTCTTGAATACTATTAAGAGGACTGTTAAGTTCCTATGCCCAGTAGATATTATTCTTCCATATATTGATGTTGATTTGAGTGAGTTGGGCGGGGGTCAGAAGGTGGTAATGGGAGACCTCAAGGTTCATCCAGCTCTAAAAGCTTATTCAGCCGAAAGATGAGCCTGTTTGTAAGATTATGGGAGCCAGAGTTTCAGACCAACAGAAGAAGAAATAAGGATTTTGGTTCAGATTTTGGCAAGCCTAGCGTTAACAAAATTTATCTGAATGGGGCATTGAGTGAGCTAAAATTTATGCTATCACTTCTCATATTGTTCACCTTATGCAGTGCTAGAGTGCCTTCTTTATTTCTTTTTTTTTTCTCCTCTTTCTCCCATAGGGTGGGGTGAACAAAATCAATCATGATGTTTCGGGGCAAATCACTCGGGGATTCAAAATCTCCAAATAGTTAAATCCTTTTTGCCTTTTTTTTTTTTTTTGCCTTGGAATTTGCTGTTTTTATTCCATTGATTCAGATATACTTTTCCTACTGGACTCAAAGTTCTTAGAATAGCATTCCAACTACTGCATATGTGATATGTATGGCTTATAAAATCTGTTTTACAAGGCTCTTTGAATGGGTTTTAACTATAATCAATAACTCTGTTATAAATAAATGATGAAGATGTTTGATAGACCTTGTGTCTATTGATGTTCATTTGGAGTTTGCCACTTCAGTTTCATAATATTCCGACAGTCCCAGGATGACAGTTTCATAGTATTCGTTTCATTCCTTATCTCTTTGTTCATACGGAAGAAGAGAAAATATGAAATCATCGTTTATTAACCTTAATTTTGAAAATTTTCGATTGTTTGTATCATCATATGGTTAAGATTAAGAATAATCTTTAGTTCTTGTCTCGGGTATTCACTCTCTTCCCCGCCTTCTTTTTCTTGTTAATCTGGTCTTGAAACATGCTATTAGTTAAAATCTTCCTAAATAAAGCTTTTTTCCTTTATTAGTTTGAATTTTAATAAGACTCTTAGAAAATCTTATGATTTTCTTTGAACCATATATAGGTTTTAATGCGTTTAATTTATCCTAAATTTTTTTAGCCACAAAAAGAAAAAACTAAAAGGGCCACCAACCAAAATATTACTGAAGCACGCACCATATTTGTTGATATGAATTACTGATAACATTACCTTTTCTTTTCTTCAAGTTTTAAGCCTTAAAAGAACTGAGTCTATTTTTAAATCTCAGACCCACCAAATATTGTCATCTCCAAATCATAAATTCCAAAATGCAAGAAAGTTTCCATGTTTGGTCTTGAAATATTTTCAAACTAAAAAAATTCTAATCAAACAAAGTTTCTTATAGATTTAGAAAGAAAAAAAACAATGGATCTAACATTTTTCAGAATAGCATTTGTGGTTATAGTTTTGGTCATAATTTCCTTCGGGTAGTGATTTTCTTACTTGTTTTTCTCAATCAAATGCAAGCCCACAAGGCCCCAACAGCACATGGTTTCATTAATAGTGTTTCATGGTTTGTTAGGGATGACTTGAAACCTATAAAAGAGCAGTGAAATTAATAAGCTGTCAGTCTTGCAGGTTTAAAGGACGCACATGTCGCAGCACTTCCGACGGCCTACCTTGTGCAAACGGTCCCAGTGCCTGTGATTTGGGCATTTACTTTCGCTTGAGAAGCTAGCTTTCAAAACTTCCCCAATCGCACCATTATATGGAGACTAATTACCCATGCACGAATAGGGTAACTTCTGGTTCTTAATGAAGTTTGATGACGACTAATGAATTTGAAGAAGCCACTCACCTCAGTTTTATTCAGATGGAAATTCTAAGTTTGAAATAATAGTTTTAGTCCTTTTCAATACTATCTATCAACGAAATTTTATTATATAAAATAAAACTAAATCATAGAAGAATGGAAAAATCAAAGTGACTAAGTGAGTTTAAGTAAGTGGGGTTAGTCAAAAGTTGAATGTGAACCCTTCCCTAAAGAGTAAGACATAACTCATTGTTATTCTTTAAAAGAAAAAGGATTTTGACATTAACAACTTCACAAGGCTATATCTCTCTTTGCAAAAATATCTCAATTTGAAATTCCACGATTTCCTGAAATAATTGAGAGCCACTGCAATTGCTCCAATTTATACGAAGAAAGCTTATTATTATTAGATTTACTGTTGAATTAAAGTAGTTGGGGGCTTAGGAGGATTCGGTTTTGGAGCTTTTTAAAAGCGATGGTGGGGTGGGGAGTAGAGTGATGGAGGGCCACACAACATTATGTCATTATCTGCAGAGAATCATGATTATTATCATTATCAACATCACTATTTAAGAAAAATAAAAAGAAAAACTGAGAAATTATGAATGAATGATGTACAATTTTGATGATATGATTGGCTCTAATTATTAACCATTGTCTAAATTATTAAACTCCGTTAATAAGCTTCAACTTCACCCCCTACCTATGTATATCTACGGTTAATTACAGAAGAGATACGCATTTGTCTGTGCATGACTTCTTCAAATTATATGCTATACACAACGGAATGCTCCAGAGGACTCGTCGATCCTAAATTACTTAAAAAATTCAAACAAAAACTAAAAAATAATAATAATAAAAGCAAGCAGAATTTGAGTGTTTGACGACATAAAAAAGTGATAAATTCTTTTTGGTGTTATTTGATTGTGGGACCCAATACGATGGAGGGTGGGACCAAATCATCAGACCTCCACGTGGGAAGGACGCATGGTGTTGCGTAATATGTTGACACCTCATGTGGAAGCACGTGATAATCTCCATCAGTACGCGGGTGATCCATGTCTCATCTCACCATTTCCTGCTCTTTTTTTTTTTTTTTCCCGAACGGTAAAGTCAAAGATAAAAGGAATACAAGGAAATTGAACCAATCAGAGTCCTCCGTACCACCGACAATTTTTGTGGCTTGTAATTGACGTAACATTGTGCTCAACATTTGACACGTGTTCAACAATCGTACTAATTGACACAGCCCTGCTTTCTCCACTGGTATTTCCCCTTCCCCACTTGCAACAATTAGTATTGTACCTTTTCCTGATCAACAAAAACCTTCTATAAATAACCCTACAACTCCAAAATTAAAAACATTTATTTATTCATAAAACATTTTTAGTGATAAAGAGTTAAAGAGAACCCCTTTCAATTAGTCAATCTTGAGTAAGGTAACAGGGAAGAAAATATGCAGCTAACCGTAAGATTATCACTGTTACAGCAGTTAATGGGCTTCTGCGATTAATACAACTTTCTAGCTGGCATCCCAACCGTAACACGAGGTGCAATAACGGTCCGAATTTCCAGCTGGATTCCACAGCTTACTCTAGGCACGAGCATCACTAACTTACGCCTCCAAAGGCGCACGTTAGCCAATTTGAATTCTTTAATTTAAAAGTATAGTTTTCAAGTTTCGCAATTTATTTTCTTTCGTAATTTTATATACAAAGATGATAAACAACACAACTGCCACACACGTAGCGCCAGCTAATATATTTGCTTCACAAGCCAACAAATTAACATGCAATTTAAATTTATACGTGCAACAAAAAATTTTGGGCAACGGCCGGCACGTGCGGATTTGTAGTCAGATAGAGCAAGAACGACGGATGAGAGCAAAAGAGTGAAAGAGATAAACAGAGAGAACACTGCTTAGAAATCGGCTATTTTTCGGTGGAGCCGGGACTTCGGGACGAATTTATCAAGTTCTTGCAAGTTCCTCAGGCTTCGAATCGCCAAAACATCGCCTCTCCGAGATTCAATAAATCGGCCGACGTCGCTGATTTCATTTGAATCTGCAAATAACGAAAGCGGAAATCTAAATAACCAAAAAAATCATTAAACAAAAAAAATTAAAATAAAAAAGAAAAGGTGAATTGGAGCTGCATTATACCTAAATGCTTTGAGAGATGCTTGAATCGATTAAAATGAGCCAAATCTGAAACAAAAAAATGTTAAAAAAAACTAATGGTTACGATTAAGCTTGAATAACTTTGCTTGCTTGATAGCCGTTGATTGAGAAGACGAAAAACGTACCAGATTGTGAAGGATTGTGGGAAGTTAGGTAAAGAATGAGGAAGCAAAGGAGAGTGATAACAGGAACAAGGTGAATGAACTTCTCAGGTTTAGGAGGAGATGTCAACGACGACGTTGGCGACGATGAAGGAGAAAACGACAATCGGCGAGGCTTTGTGTCTTTGCGTTCGTCGTCGTCGATGATTTCTCTGCGTTTCTCATGATTTTCAGCAACAGAACTCTCTTCTCCACCGTGGAAGTGGAGCTTGGAGCTCGGCGAGCCTAAGGATTGTCTCTGCATGTTAGAGAGAGAGAGAGAGAGAGAGAGAGAGAGATGAAGGGAAACAAAGGTTGGTTAGTAGTAGAAAGTGAGTTTTTCGTTGTGGTTTAGGTATTTCTTTGGAGAGTTCGGTTTTTGTTTTTTCGTTGGTTTTAATTTAGGTTGTCTTAAGCCTCGCTGTTTAGTAGAGTATTAATTAAGCATTAATTAATTGCAAGGTACTTCTGAAAAAAGCAAAGAATTTTAATTTTAGTTTGTATTTAGCTTTGTGAAGGGGAAAGAAGATATTTATTTGAGCGCTCTTTTAGTTGCGTTGGGAGGCGCTTTTTTGCTTTTCTTTGGTACGGTAAAATTGTGACGTTGGGAGAGTGCTCCATTATTCTTTGCTGCATACTTTGTACATTATTATAAGAATAGTTTTGTTTTAGATTCAATTCCAGTCAATAATATTTTATTGGATTATTTCAATTGCAAGCTTGAAAGTTATTATTTTTAAATTATTCAATATGATACATTTTATTATGATCTGAAAATGGACTAATTAATTTATTCCAAATGTTTTGTATTAAAAAATAATAATAATTTGTTAGGATTTTTGCACTTATGACTGCTGTTTTATTGTTCTGTCTAAATATATATACTTTCTATAGAGAACTCAAGTGTTTTTTTTTCTTTCTTTATTGAAACAATTTTTGGAGTGTGTAAAGGCTTTCAGTTTTTCCTTTCTGATCATCTTCCATTTTGTGGCAAAAATTTCATGCAAACCCTACCCAGTTTATTGGCATTTTAGTAAGTCTGTCAAATTAATACATAGATTTTCATGAGAAAGTTGGTGGCAAAGGATACAAAGCATCTTGATCTTCTCTCTTTCCCAATAATTAATTTGAGTGTAGTTACATATCGAAAATCTTGAGATGCATTTCATTGGACTTGCCCGGCAGTCAGTAGGAAATATACATCCTAGTGAAACACAGAACACAATTTTTTTTTTTTTTACTGAGAAAAAAGGGGAATAATAACATTGCCATTAATGAATTTTAGTTCCGATAAAAGATGTCTTGATTCTGGGTGTTGCTTCTTCGTCATCCTAGTTAGCTGCGTTTTAATCTATTCCTGTCCCAATTCTACTTTTGTTTTCAGTGAGCCTAAACCCTTCTTTGGAGAGCGACTGCATGAAGTTACAGGCCATACCATTGAGCTATAAACATGATATTCCCATATCCAAAAATTCAGCCAGATTGAACAATCTTTTCAAAGGAAAGAAGCTATACGATCTGAAACAGAGAGCTCCAACTCCCCAAAATTTTAACAGTAGTCTTTAGCAGAAGAAAAAAAAATTGCGAAGATGGTCCAGTGTTGAAAAAACATGAATAATTCTGGCACAACTGCAACAGACAGGTGCGAAAAAATGATCACCAAAACCATTTTGAATTTTACAAGGAATCAGCCTGCTATGATCAAGTTCTTGCAGCAGAATGAGCATGTGGGATGCCTCACTCTAAACTGTTTTAATGCAACGGAAATTGGAACCGTTTTCCCCCCTGCAACAAATTAACAGGTACATTTTATCTCTGATCCATTTGTCTGATTCAAATCAGATGCTTAAAAAGAATACTCCAGGTTGATCCAAATAAAGCATTTAAATAGTTTCAATTATGAAAGAATAGACAATCATGAATAGGATCGATTTTGCAAATTGCATCAATTGTATAATTTCTTGTATACAAAACTTGTTGCACGACTACAAAAACAAGATCTAATCATCTATTATCAGAAACTCAGTAATTAACACCAAAAAGTTGAAATTTGTTCCAGTATTAACTACAAATTAACTATAGCTTGAAACTATAACTAATCAAATTAAAATCAAACCAGAAATAGAGCCAACGTATAGCACAAACCTCCTATACTTATATGCCTTCAAGCCCAAGAATTATCGAAAGCTGCCGAAGTAATCGCCTGTTAGAACTCCTCAAAACTGATCCTTCCTTCCCCATCCGTATCGGCCTCCTTGATCATCACCGTCAACTCCTCTACCGTCAGTGCATGTCCAAGTTTCTCCATGGAATGTGCTAACTAGCAGCAGTGATGAAACCATTACCATCCCTATCAAACATCTTAAACAGCTGCTTCAGCTGCTCCTCGCTGTATGGTAACTTCTCCGACAGTAGCTCCGGAGCCACCAGAGCCACAAACTCTGAGAACTCCACCAGCCCATTACTATTCGTGTCAGCCTTTTGTATTAGGGCTTCGACCTGGTCAGAGCTCGATTTTAGCCCCAAGGACCGCAAAAGTAAACCAAGTTCCAGCTGTGTTAAGCTCCCATCGTTGTTCCGATCGAAAGAACGAAAGATGTCTCGTAATTCAGCGATTTGCTCACCATTTAGCTTCGCTGGTTGCTTGTTGTTCATGTTCATAAGAAACCTCAAATCTTTATAACCTCTATACCCTAAACCTTAAACTTGTTGCAAAAAACCCTCAAACCTTAGCAAACTAACTTCAATAAAGATTCTTGTACTTTGCTATGTGAGTCAGCTTGGTTCATCACTTCCATTAATGATCCTTTGAATACCAAGATGATTGTCTTCTGGTTTGATTTGTTTCTTTTGAGATATGGGTCTCTCTCTCATACCAAAAACAGTATCGTAGGATCCAAGATTGCCTTGATTCCTCGACTTTTGATGGATCTTTCCTTGTTTACCAGCGAGTAAACCAAGATTGCCTCGATTCCTCGACTTTTGATGGATCTTTCCTCGTTTACCAGCGACTAACCCAAATATAGGACCGCACTAAAATAACAGAAAAAAAAATAGCAATGCAAATATCCCTTGCAAACAGAAGCTGACGCTTTCTTTATTTTATTTTTACAAATGTAGATAAACGAAGTCAACATTATGAAGACAAAATAATTATTAGAAATAATTAATTGAAATCCTAATGTATTGTTTTCAATCTCTTAAATTCAATCTTCAATTTTTTTCTTAATTTCACGAGAAAATTCAAAGAGGAAAAATACGTGAAAAGTGGCGTCAATTCCGTGACTGGGGCATTTCTTTCTTGCTTGTTTGCTACACTTTCTGTCAACCATGCATTACCCAAAGGGGTTTTCTCTAATCTCTACAGTGAACGTGGACTAATCATATTACGACACCTCATGATCCAAATGTTATACTTGTTAGCCAGGAATTCGTTTGGTGGCATGGTGGTGAGCCTATAGGGTCGGTAACAGAGAGATAACTCGAGCCACTAGTTGTTTGGTGAATTGATCAGTAAGGACGGTGGCATGTTGGTGCTTTGCCTTCTTCAATTATCTTGTTTGATTTTTATATATAAAGATTAACATTATTATTAGTATTGGAGAATCATCAATCATACAATCAAATATTGTAGTACATAAGAAGCACTAATTGTCAAGAAAATCCCTTTGTTTTTGGTGCCAAATTATTTATAAAAACTTGGATTTTGAAATTTCCATTTATTCTTTTTGATTCAATTGCCATGCTAATGATCCCTTCTGCTAGGAAAGTAATGTCCTCTTCGGGCTGAAGCTCAAATCCAAGATGGAACTAAGTTCAAATGTTAACTGGATCGCACTATTATTGTTATTGTTATTGTTAATCCCACAAAGAACACCATTCTTTGGCACAAGGCGAGCCAGCCCCAAAAGAGAGTAGAGAAATCATCAGCTTGAAAATATTTCACAAATCAAGCCACAAAAGCAATGTGTAATGTGTTTGATGCTCTCCCTAACATGTAATGAAAAATATGTACCCAACAAATGGATAGGCTTCCAGTCAATAGCCTTAGCAACAGACATCATCAACAAAGTATTTATACTACGTGCTATGATCAGGTAGGGTTATCAGAATGAAATGATTTCAAATTCACCTTCAATTGATGCAAATGTTTTGAAATCTGTCTCCCACAAGTATCATTTATATCCTACACTGTACTTAAACAAATCGACAACAGCAAAAATTTCCTTTGTCCGCAAGTAAAGATTAACTCTTAGTCAAAAAGAGAAACACAATAAATACATATATTCCCTTCACAGATACCATATGCATAGTGCACCTCATACATATACTCTTCATAGATATGCATGCATAATGCTCCTGGCTACTGCTCCAGCAGAGGACTCCCCAGCTTTGCAAGCACGAAGACACCACCATCTCCTCTTGATATCCGAATATCCTCATCAAGATACGTAATCAGAAGCCAGGAACTTGACCCATCACCAGGAATGGGAATCTTAAGAGGTGGCTGACCAGAAATGGTTCTTGAAATATTTGCGACCAAATCCTGAATTGGGTTAAGAGATTGCTGCACAGGCAACAAACTGATTCTTTGACCAAAAACATCCACATCTGCAGGGAGTTCAATGCTTGGTTTTATCTCTGGAGGTTGCAGTGTACCTTCCTTAAATTCAACCTGAATGTTTTGTGAAAAATATTAGTACCTTGGAAGCAAATGTTTCATATGTAAAGATTTCCAAACTCCAAATTCAATAACACGACAATAATCATCATTCTCAGCCTTTCCAATTAAAATTTTGCTTGCTCATATATATATATATATATATATATATATATATCCAACCAGCAGAACATTCATAGGACCGCTTTCATCACAAAATCATAAATTTCCAGTCGTGAATCATTTCAGGAAGTATTAAACTATACTTTTCTAAACAGAAAAATTAGGTCAAAAAAAGCAGTCTTTCGTTGGATTATAAACTTCCCATCTTTTTGGGATGAAGTCAGTCTTGATTCTAGATATATCAAACTTAAACAACCAGTATAGTTTAAGATTTACCTGTATTCTTGAAGGAGTTCTAATTTCAAAGGTAGCAGATGCACTGAAAGAGAAATCAGCAAAAGGGCCAGACAATGTAGTGGAGTTCACAATAGACAGGCTTGCCGTATCAATTGTTTGGCTTATACTTTTCACTTTTAACAAGGGGCCAGCTGCTACGAGTGAAAACAGCTCAGAAAATGCCGTGTACCTGATCAGTTAGAGATCAAAATTATACAAAACAATCAACAGGAAGATCAGTGAATATGAAATACCGAGTACTGATTATTAATATAACAATTATTTTACCGTTTTTAGTTGTTCATTTATTAATAATTAATTATAATTTAGAAAAAGGAAAAAGCAATATTTTTTAAAAAAGAACAAGACACTCACAGCAAAATCCAATTGCCATCAAGAAGCTGAGTAGCCTCAGTAGGAGCCCGGGTGGGGTTAACCGCCTCCAACTGATTGACTAACTCCGAAACTTCAGCCCTTACTTCAGGCCCCGCCCGAAACCCCAACTCCGTCCCATAAACCGTATCCACCAAACACCTCTTCAAATCCGCAACCCTACCAGCAATACCCTCCTCATCCTCCTCCGGCGCTGCCTCAGTTCCTCGGGCAGCGACGGCTGTACCGTTACCTATCTGACAATACTCTTCCTCCCACTCGTCCTTGTACCTCGGAGGATCAAATCCGGAAGCTTGGTGGTTTCGGGTTCCGACTCAAGCTCCCATTTTTCACCCCATTCGTCGTTTACGCTAGGCTGAAAAGAAGAAAGCGGGATCGGGGGATTTGCGTCGGAATCGGATTCGGGAGTAGGGTCGGGTTTGGAGCTGGAAAGAGAAATAAAAGAAGATAATTTGAGGGTTTTGTGGGGTTTGGTTGAAAGGGGAAAGGAGAGCGGGATGGGTTTAGGCGATTGAGAGAAGGAAAGCTTTGGGTATTGACAGAGGAAGAGAGAAGAAGGTTGTGCAGCGAAGAGAAGCGCCATTTCCTTGCGCTTCAGTTCTCTCTCACTCAGGTTCTCATGCGTTTCTCCTGCTGCTTCCAAAGAAAAAGAAGGAACAGAGGAAACTAAAAAGGCCCAAAAGCTTTGGTTCTTCAACTTCAGCTTGCTCTAGATCTAGAAGAAAGCTTTGAAATATGGATTGGTCTTTTGGCCCAATTCATCAAGAAAACCCTCACAATTGGTCCTAAATAAAATAGGCGAACCTCTACCTGGGTCAGAAATCCTGTACCAAAATAAATATTGCGGGGCACTGCAATTTAATAGCTATCTAGGAGTTTGTTCAATTATTTGAAACTACGAATTAATTATAGATTTGAGAAGCTGGGGGAAGCAACTTTGGGAAGGACAGGGATTCAACAAGCAAGTCAGTAGAGCAACCCATCAAATGTGACAGTTGTGGGCCATTTCAACACCCACGTGTTGGTGTCGGACCATATTTGTTGCCTTTGTTATTAATGAAAACGAAAAAAAAAAGAAAAAGAAAAAAAGAGAAGGCAGAAAAACAAAAGGGTTTTAAGATAAATCAATTGGAAATGGAAGGCTGTTATGACTTTTGTGAGTTTGAGCGAGAAAATTTTGGGTCTTTTAGTTGTTATATTAATCTACAAACCCTTACTTTTAATGGGTTTTTTTTCCTTAAACTAAAATTGTGAGGTTGGCATACTCCTTTTTAATCATGACAAAAGCTTACCTTGTTTTAGAGCAACATATCCAAATCATTTTGTTCATGAACATCAAGAAAGAAAGATACATGCTGCTTAGTGACTTAATCTAAAATTTCAATAGTAATATAAATTTGAATCTGAATATGAAATTCAATGTTAATTATATCTATTGATTCAAAAAATGACAAAATATATCTCTCATAACTTATTTCAATTAGTTTATACAATCAATATTAAAATATAACATTTGATAAGTCGAAGTTTAAATTCGTGTACTTATAACTTCATGTACTATTTTCAGATTGCAATCTAATTTGTATAAAAAAATAATAAAGTAAAACTTTTTTTTTCAAATAATAGAATATTTTTGTTTCACATATATATACATTGAAGATATCTAACCACACGAGTGCATCAGTATTTATTAATTAATAGTAAGAGATGTATACGATGAAGAGTAAGCAACACACAATATTGTATTGTTCCAATTTATTGCATAATGATGAGTTATAAGTGATCTTGTTGTATCTCTCAAATTAATGGCTCATTCGGATGAAGTAATATTTACTTATGTTTTAGTATTAATTATTATTATATGTTAAGAATATTTGGTCATAAATTTGTACAGAATGTGATTCAAAGACAAGATGATGTTGGATATTAATTTCTTGTATGTGTAGGAGTAGGAAGCTATATAGTAATTAATTAGAGGATACAGTGCAGGCAGGTTATGGTTTTGGTACCATAATAATCCAGGTTGAGAGAAAATTTGTCTCAAACTGATCTCTACATTTATTTCTTATTCTCAGATATCAGTGCTCTATTAATATTTACACCATGGAGTATAATAAAACAAACATAAATAAATTTTAAGTTTTCTCTTGATTGGGGATTAATTTCACAAATTAATTAAATCCTTTTCCAGATTTAATCTTGATGCCAAATTCCTATAGTTTCAGTTTCTCATAGGTTTCATGTGGAAAACTAATTAGTAATACATGAATCATAATAGGGAAAAATAATTTGAAGTAAATGGGAACCAAACCAAGCATAAATATGAAAATAAGGATGATGACATATCCATTGATAAAAAATTAATGTGCTTTGACCCAATTTTGGGTTATATCTTCATATTCTTTTCCTAATTAGACTTTGCAAATACTATTTATTTTATAGTGATCCCTCATTATCTCCATTAAAGCTAATGACACAAATAAATATCATCTGCTACCAAATTTTATTTCCTTATCTATTACTAAGTCCATTTCCCTCATACATTTGTTATTATCACTGTTGTTTCTAATAAACCAAGATTATATATGTAAAAAAATTTGCATAGTTACAAAGTAGTAGCAGTCCAAAATATAATTTTACATGAATTAATACAACTGTATTATTGTATATGTTCTCAAGTATACACCTTTAATAATGAGAATTTGATATTTCGTGATGGAGTTTGTTGACTACTTGTAGAATCAAATCTTGAGAATAAAGAAAAATCGGATTTATTTATGGAATGAAAAAAATAGTTTTATTAATTTGTATAAAATTAAAACGGTGAAATAAGTCTTTGAATTAAAACTTGAACTTGAATTTGAATTTGTATTTCGATTTCACATAATTAAATATGAATCTTTTTTATAACATAAATTTAAGATTTTTCTTGCAAAAATAAAATATAAGATTTACAAATTAGAATTTTCATATCTAAAAGAAAAGTAAGGATTTCGTGAAGGAAATGATTCATTTGCTCAACATTAATTCAATCCCATTAAAACTAGCAGTGTTGTTTAATGAAGTTGTTTTCATAAATTCAGATACCCAAAAGGAAAAGAAGAAAGGAAAAAGAGGAAGGGAGAGTGGTCCTTGTGATAAAGACACCCTTGGATTTTAGTATAAGGGAGTCAAAACCCCATTTATATCTTTGCAATTATGTCAATGTCCCTTCCCCCCCATGGATGCAATACTTTCAAAACTACCTTTGCAGCGATATACGACGAACTTCAAGATTTCTTTTCGGACCCACGTCACACAAAAATGGACGGCTTTGGTCCATTGACATTTCCTACTCCAAATTTGATGGACGCCATAAGCCCTAATGGACGGCATTGATCATTTGACCACTCAACTCTGCTTTTTGACTCTTTCCTTCTATATCACAGTAAAAATCTTTACAAGTTTCCAAACAACGAAAACTAACACACGTGAATACAGAGAGCGTGAAATAAATAAGGAATAAAAATTAGCAGGATGTTCATCACGAAGCCGGCATGCGCGTGTGTTAAAGGAGATAGAAATTAAAAAAAAAAGGTTTGACTTAGGGCTTTGTTTTTACTTACATTGCATTGGGGAAACGTAAATATGTATATATATATATATATATGGAAGAAAAAGACGGATCCCTTGTCAACAAAACGGACACGTGGTAAAAAAATGAAACAGTAAAACGGAGTAAGCGGCGTTCATCGGTTTCAATCAGACGTAGTTAAAGCCCGCGTTTACCACGTACGGTAAAATAGAAATAATTAAATTCGCTTCCCTAAATTTATTGCAAGAAGAAAGAGTAAGAAAGAGCGAAGGGCAGAGCAGTGACTGTCTGTTTTAAGCTTAGAAATCAAAGCAAAAGCAAAGAAAAGAAGAGAAGGGAATTATTATTTTCTCTTCTTCTTCTGCAAAGAAAACACCGACAAAATTGGTGGTGACATTTTCTCCTATATTTTATTATTATTATTACTGTTAACTTTAATTTTCTTGGTTTTAATCGATTTCTTTTTTTTTTTTTAACTTTTTGGTGCTTGCTTTTATTTCTCAAGCTTTGATTCGTGGTGGGTTTTTGATGTTATTGTCAAAAACATTCAATCTTTCTCAGTTTTTTTTTTTTTTTTTTGAGATGGTGGCTTTGAATGTGAAGCTGTGGTCTTTTACTCTTTGGAAAAAATCACATCATTCATTTTCAAATTTCCCAACTTTTTGCATTTAATTATAGAGACTTTGTGGTCTTTTCTTAGTGATCACAGGCTGCTAGCTTCTTCTTATTGCTCTTTGGTTTCTTTTGGTTGGCGGGGGTTTTCTTCTATGGTTAAATCAGTGCATGTTTAGTTTTTGCTTGACGGTTTAGCCTCTGAATTTGGAGTTCTGTTGTTTTTTTTTTGAGATTCCATTTTTGCTATGGTGCTTCAATATATATATCTTGTCATTTGATTGGCAGGACTTTTTCAAGTGAAGCCCGGAACACGTACGATTTTACTCTACTTGAAAAACCTTGTCACATCAAAAGGAAACAGTGAGGAGAAGATCAAAATGTATGGAGATTGTCAAGTCATTTCATCCATGGGAGGGAATGTGGTATCTTCAGAAACCCTATTTTCATCACCGATTCAAAACCCTAGTTTCAATTTCTTGCCTTTCCAACCTTTACCTCCCATGATTCCTGTAAGTTATTTAAATCAATGAAACATTAATCTTTCCTTCATTTTCATGTTCTTTTTTTTCTTTTGTCTAAGTTCTACTAGCCCTTCTTTTTTCCTTATTTTCTTCTGTGGGCTGAATAGAAAGAAGAAAACGGGCTATTGCTGAGAGGGAAAGAGGAGATGGACAGTGGGTCTGGGAGTGAACAAGCAGAAGAGAAATCAGGGAATGAGCAAGAGAGTACTGAGCAACCACCTAAGAAGAAACGTTACCATCGACACACTGCTCGCCAGATCCAAGAAATGGAAGCGTATTTCTCTCTGTCCTTTACTCTCTTTTCTTCATCATCTCAAATCTTTTCTGATCATCCTTTTCTAGCGAAAGAGATTAAGCGGAAAAGGTCTTTTATTATGAGCAAATGACATGCAAAAACAAAAGATCAAATTTGAGAAACAAATTTGTCTCTTTCTTTTCATACATGATACAACAGTTTACCTTTCTTTTTAAAAGAAAAATGTTAGTTTTGCAGTGTTTTTAACGAATGTCCCCATCCTGATGACAAGCAAAGGATGAAACTAAGCCAAGAACTTGGCCTTAAGCCTCGCCAAGTCAAGTTTTGGTTCCAAAACCGCCGCACTCAGATGAAGGTGAACAAACTTATTAACATCTATATCTCGCCGCGCTAATTTCACTATCATCCGCACCCCTAAAAAAATGTACCCAAACTCTCTCTACTTCTTTGAGGAGGAGCTTTATCACATAGCCAAAACACTACTCCCAAGAAAACGCGTTGATTGCTTTGCATTAAAACCAGCTAGCTCAAACCCTAAACGGCTGAACCTGGGCAAATGGGTTATATGCATCATGATAGCGCATAGTAGCAGCAGAAAAGAAGGATCTTATTTATTTTTTGGGGCCAGTGCATGTAGTCTTCTATTTGCAATTACAGTCTGTATTCATAAATGTGGACTGGGTTGAGCATTAAACTCCTTTACCTGCACATATGCTTCTTAAAGGGTTCGCACATTTAATGCCAAATAATATTCTCATTTAGGGCTCTTAAGGTTAATATGTACAACATAATGCTTGATTTTCATTCTTTTTTGGTTCTTTTGAATTTTTCAGGCTCAACAAGATCGATCTGATAATGTGATACTTAGAGCTGAGAATGAGTCCCTCAAGAATGAGTTTTACCAGCTTCAAGCGGAACTCAGCAAACTTGTTTGTCCAAATTGTGGTGGTCCAGCTGTGCCTGGAGGGATTTCCTTTGAAGAGATTCGGATAGAGAACGCAAGGCTTAGAGAAGAGGTCAGTTCAATGGATTATATTTCTCTATAATCAAGCAATAGCATGCAAATGAAACCTTTAATACGTTTAATTAAAGAACATTGTTCATTAGTTAGAAGTAACTGGATTTACATTCTTCCCAACGGATTCAATATTTAGGTTCCACGAGAAATTGACAATCTGGTCTATCTAAGTAACAATTTTAGACAATTTTCAGGCCTTTTTTCCCTTCTCTGAGAGCTTTAGGAAATGAGAATGGAACATGAGGATGTTAATTTATATGATAAAATAATTTTAAGGTAAGATGTTTTTACAGCTGGAACGGGTATGTGCTATTGCGTCGCGATATATTGGGAGGCCAATCCAAACAATGGGTGCAGATCCTGCAATGATGCCACCTTCATTGGATTTGGACATGAACATATATGCAAGGCATTTCACAGAGCCTATGGCTTCCTGTGTGGAAATGATGCTAGTGCCTATGCTTCCGGAAACAGCCTCCTTCCCCGAGAATAATAATCTAGTTCTAATGGACGAGGAAAAAACAGTTGCAATGGAGCTTGCTATGTCTTCCATGGATGAACTTGTGAAGATGTGCCGAGCAAATGAACCTCTTTGGATCCGAAACAATGAAAATGGGAAGGAATTACTCAATCTTGAAGAACATGGCAGGATGTTTCATTGGCCGTTAAATCTCAAGCAGCGCCCGAGTGAGTTCAGGACTGAAGCTAGCCGTGATTGTGCAGTGGTCATAATGAATAGCGTTACTTTGGTAGACGCATTCCTTGATGCTGTAAGCATCCTTTCCTTGAATTTTACTTTGTATGCAATTTATATATATTTTTGAAGCAGCAACTATCTATTATCATTTTGGGTATTTAATATTTTTTATGATAACTATAGTTAATGGCATATATCTCATTTTGAAATGTTTATTATCCTATTTCAGAACAAATGGACTGAACTGTTTCCATCAATCGTTGCTAGAGCAAAAACTGTTCAAGTAATATCACCAGGTGTTTCAGGAACAAATGGTTCCCTTCAGCTGGTATAGACTCACCAGCAATGCTACATTCTTTTCTGACAAATGCTCAATACTCTTTTATATTCTTTAAAACTAGTCCATCTGATCAGTTGCTTTTTTTAATTTGTCTATTTGAGCAGATGTATGCAGAATTGCAAGTTCTATCTCCATTGGTGCCCACTCGAGAGGCTTATTTTCTTCGTTATTGCCAACAACAAAATCTAGATGATGAGACTTACTGGGCAATTGTTGATTTCCCCTACGATGGCTTTCATAACAACTTAGAAACTTCCTTTCCCTTATACAAGAGAAGGCCATCTGGCTGTCTGATTCAAGACATGCCTAATGGGTATTCAAGGGTATGTGCAAAATAACTTTCTATTCTCCATAAATGTTTCCTACTGAAACATTCATGGAGATTTAGCAATATTAGTCCTGAAGATTTAAAATGCGGAAGTCTTGTTGCATTGAATTAACGAGGTTTATGCATGCAGGTTACATGGGTTGAACATGCAGAGATAGAGGAGAAACCTGTCCATCAGATATTTAGCCACTTTGTTTACAATGGGATTGCTTTTGGAGCACATCGTTGGTTATCTGTTTTAGAGAGACAATGTGAAAGGATTGCTAGCCTCATGGCCAGAAATATCACTGACTTAGGAGGTTCCAAACTTCTCTTGCCTGCACCCAAACCTACTTCTTTTTATGATTTGGTTTTCAATATAATTTACAGTAATGAGATATTTCCGTTTCTTTCATTTGCAGTGATACCTTCTCCGGAAGCAAGGAAGAATTTAATGAGACTTGCTCAAAGAATGATAAGGACTTTCTGTGTCAACATCAGCACTTCCAGTGGTCAGTTGTGGACAGCTCTACCAGATTCCTCTGATGATACTGTTAGAATCACAACAAGGAAAGTCATGGAACCTGGCCAACCCAATGGCCTGATTCTTTGTGCTGTATCTACTACTTGGCTGCCATATCCTCACTACCAAGTTTTCGATCTTTTGAAGGATGAACGCCGTAGAGCTCAGGTTCCAAGCTTTAAATCTATTTTTGATCTTCTTCCCAAAATGCAACATTGGCAATGTGCTGACTGCTACTATTAATTTACTTTTATGCAGCTGGAGGTTCTTTCAAATGGGAATGCCTTACATGAGGTCGCTCACATTGCTAATGGCGCCCATCCTGGAAACTGCATTTCACTTCTTCGAATCAATGTAAGAATTTCCTTCTTGGCTAATTAAAAATTGAATTTCTAGGTTTATTTCTTCTTTCTTGTTTTTTATACTATGGCAAAGACATAAAATTACACCCTTTAATTAAGTATTTGTTATAATGTAGGTCGCAAGCAACTCCTCACAGCATGTAGAGCTAATGCTGCAAGAGAGCTGCACAGACAGATCCGGTAGCCTTGTTGTTTACTCCACCGTTGGTGTTGATTCCATCCAGCTAGCAATGAGCGGGGAGGACCCATCCTGCATCCCTCTACTTCCCTTAGGCTTCTTCATAACCCCAGTGGAACTCATCAGAGATGAAGGCAAATCAGTCCCACCATCTGAAGAGGCAAATGGACATATTCAAGGGAGTCTACTCACGGTTGGGCTTCAAGTTCTTGCCAGCACAGTTCCATCAGCAAAGATCAACCTCTCAAGCATTGCCGCCATCAACAACCATTTATGCACCACCGTTCATCAAATCAGTGCTGCTCTCAGTAGCAGTTCCCCTAGCAGCCCCGGTAATGGGAATGGTGTAGGCTCTTGCACTGAGCCTGCTACCGCACACGAAAAATAGGTCTGGGATCTTTGTGAATTACCTATAACATCCCTATATTTATGGATTTGAGAGATGGAAGACTGGGGAAGTTATTGGTAATTTATTAGAAAATCAAGTTGTAGTAATTAATGTGGTAAGTAAGTCATTTTGTAACTAAGGGAACGGGGCTACGTAGTTGTTTCAGGTAAGGAAAAATTTAAGAAAAATGTGTAATATTAGCTATGGATGTTGGGAGGGTAAAGGCTAAAAAGAAATACTAGTAAACTATATCTCCATGTAATAACTAGAAGGAGTCAAGAGCGCACCAGCTCTGACCCTTGCTTTGTGGTAAGGCCTAAAGATGAGACCTCACCAGTTAGCAAGGGTGGTGGTTCGGGTATTGACTTCTGTTTTATTGGCCTTCTTTTGCTTTTCTGAATTTAATGCTGCTGCTTAGTTTCTAATCAAGGTATCTGTCTGCCTCCGATTCTCAATATTGATATTATAATTTAGTTGTTTAGGAACGTAATCATTCTTTCCCCGCTAATTTCATAACATAAGCAGTCACCGATTAACATTTCTCTAATAACATTAAGTTTTTTTTTTTCAAATAATTTTTATCGGATTAATGAAAAAAATAATAGGGGAATCAAAACCCTTATTAGATTATGACTTCCAATAATTATAACTTTTCTGCTCTCCATATCAAGGTAAAATTTAAAGCAATCAGCGTGATTTTCATTGAATTGCTTCCTTTAATCCTAGAAAGTGACAAAATATTGGATTCTGGGTAACAAATAAAATGTCCTTCAAAAAAAAAAAAAAAGTGTATATATTCGAGAAAGAATGTTATTAGGTTGATTTGTAAGGTTATGGTTTTGGTTACTCCATAGTTGCCTATTTGCAATGCAAACATCTGATCAGTCACACAAAAAATTTACAAGAAAAGAGGGGTTAAATTAATTAATAATAAAAATGATGTTCCATATATAGTAAGTTAATTGATGCATGCAGTGACATCAGATTTTCCAGGAACAATTGAATTTAAGTTCCTAAAAACAAAAATCAATGAACAATACCTAGTGCCCTTGAGAGATCCTACATAATTTCAAATATATAAGGGAGATTCTGGGATTTCATTCAAGATAAAGTTGATGCTTTTCCCAACTTTTCTGAAGATTATGGAGGTAATAGACACCGTCATCTCTTATGCTCCAGTTGCAATGGGTACATTTCAATAAGACCGAGAATACCCAGAAAGCTCCACGATTTTCATTGTTGATATGAACATAACACCACCGAAGAGGGAACAAAATTTCCACGAATGTCCACGATTTCATTTCCCCAGGTTGAATCCTTTGTAAGTCTTGGTTGACACGATCAAATCCGCACTTAAGATAAACGCTGTGGCTGGCTTCATTTTTTATGGTTACCGTCACTCTTGGAAAAACATGCTCTTTTATTCTCTCGGCCAATGCCAATGGAGCCGGTTTTGCAGATGATTGTATTGAAAATGACCATAGTTGAATGCTAAACAATGTGAGTGATATAAAATTGTGTTTACCTTTGATCATCGCTGTCAGAAACCAAATCTGATTAATGTATTGCTTGCAAAAATAACTTTGATTGTATGCCGTATGAACATGTTACGAACGGAACAAAACAAAATATATCTGATTTTTATTTACCACTAAATCGGGGAAATTAACCCAATGACAGGTGGTAAAAATTTTACTAATTATTCCAAATGATGAGTGTTGTGAACCACCTTTGGGCCTCAACTCAAATTTGGACTCGGAGCAAAGCTTGTGTTAAGCCCATATAATCCAATCTAAAATTTTTTCTTGGTCCTTAATGAATTTTTTTTTAAATTATATAGTAAAATTTTTAATTTCACAAAAAACGAGGATACATATTTTTTTATATTTAAAATAATTAATTAAAAAATAAAATATATATCATCATTTTAATACCGCTTGTGAAATTAAAAAATTTTATTATCAATGTATTAAATAATTTTTCAAAATTTTTAAGATAAAAAAATGTTTAATTGGGTGATGATTAAAGGGACGTCGAATATGTACCTGAAATTTTATTATCTCTGATTTTAAAATTTTGCAAGTGACCCAAAATTGAAGTCATAACAAGTCAATCTTTTTTTTTTTTTCTACAATAACATTGACAGGTTTCCTCCAAATTTCCGACGTTTTCATCCAATGGAAAGTTTTGAGAGACGGAGAGTGAATGCCGTTGGACCATCCATAGCCATTGGCTACCATTTTCTTCTTTGAGGTTGAAACTGCTGTCTAATCCTTTTACAAATGGACCCAACAAAGATAAATTAGGAAAATGCAACACCAAAATCTAAGGCAAAGATTCTGTATTTCCAGGCAATGGAAAGATCATCGAATCAAAAGGAAAAGCCAAGTCGAAAGTAGTTGTTCTGATTTGGACTCATTCGTTCAAAACTTCAAAGTGGCGTTAAGTCATGGTCACTGCCTAAAACCATCACTATCCATTTACTAGTCAAAAGTTGAAGAAGAATAAGAAGAATCAAACATTTTTGCCCATTTCTTCACATCATTTAGCAAATCAAACCATCAAATCTAATCATTTAGACTAACATATAGGAAATTTCACCTTTAAAAACTAAATAATTGTATCTATTTCAGGTTCCTACTAAATTACTGGTAATACGAACGGTATGGGCTGCATATATATTCTACTATAAGTCAAAATCAAAATAAGGGATCTCAAATTAAAATCTTCAAGTCCTTGTTTAAGCTACATGTTAGGAAAATAGCTGGCAAATTGGACGTGGGTATGCATCTTGATAAGACCACACAAAAACCAATGGTTGCCTGGCAATTCACAAGTTCTAATGGTATAGAAATTTCAGGGGCATGTTCCCTTTGATCCCCTAATATTAGTTAATGCTTTGATGGATCGTGACATTCGATTTCCACCCAAAATTTGTTAATAATCTAATGAACGCCAATCATACCGAACATGGGTCTACGAGCTTTGATTCTCCCAAAAACTGAAATGTAATCCCTATTGGTTGAATTAATGTAAAGGGCAAAATGGGTCGCCAATAAAAGGGCAAAGCCAAGCATTTTGGAGAAGGAAAGGCAGGCTATGCTGAGGTGCAAGGGAAATCAGATTCAATATAATATCAACATGAGAAAAACAAAATGAAAATAAACAAAAGCAAATGGTATAACCGACAAAGTGACAGATTGAGAATCTTCATGTTCTATGCATCCATACCCAAAATTGGCCTCTCATTTTGTGCCTTATCACAAAAACAGAAAGTTGGGAAAAGAAAAGATAAAAGAAAGGTGGCAAAGGGGATTCCTCCCAACCCCACTTTTCTGATGTGGCATTGAAGCACAGGCCAAGCTCTGTGATGAAACATGGTGGCGGCCACACCCAAATGTGAACTCTCTAAAAATTTATGAAAAAATAGTTTAAAAAAAAAAGTTGGCTTTTGCTTTTGCTGCCTTTACGTTTTGGGAAGCAACGTGGAGTTCACCTTTGCCGTAATCTATCTTTTGTTTTTTTCTCCTTCATTCACCTCATTTTGATTATGGAAGGAGGAAACATTGACCCATGAGCTGAAATTGAGGCAGAAGAGACAAACAACTATTGAAAGTTATAAGTCATTTGGTAAAAAAAAAAAAAGATGCGGTGTTTTTTAACGTGCTTAATTAATTAAAATTTCTTTAAATTCAGTAGTTTCAAAATGGTGGATTGACTATTTCAAAGCTAACAAAAGCTTTTTTATTTTTCCATGAAAATGAACACGTTAAGGATTGCGTGGGTTCAGGTCATTGAAGAAGTATATTTTGTATAAGCAAAGCTTTTGTTTTTTTGGTCGATAGATCAGACGCTTCCTCTAAACCTTGTACTTTGTCTCCATGCATGAATCCAGGGAAGTATAAGAACGTCTATTTGGTGGACTGGTCGCTGTGAAAATGAATTTTGTGGGAATTATTTTGACAATTATTTTGGCCTATTTTGTGCTTGAGTTTTGAAATTATTTGCCTGCTTTTCCACTTGCAATTATTACCTAATTTGGGTTTACTATAACTAAAAAAAAAAGGAAATTTGGGTACACAATGGACTTGGTCAATCATTCAATAGAAACCATATTATAAACTTGAGCTTCCTCTTGTGGAGACACTCAATTAAACTTTAGTTATTACAAAGACACAAAATCATTCAACAATTTTGGTTTTTCCCAATAAAATTACTATCAATTATAAGTTGGATTAGTTGTTCCTAATTTTGTTGAGGAACATAAGCACATGTTGTCACAATATCTTATGCCCACTTACATTACTTTTAGGTCATGATGCAATTACTCTAACATTGATGCAAGATGAGGAACCCAAGTTTCCCATTTAAACATTGTTATCAATATAGCCACATGGACTCTGTCAATTCCCATCAATGATGTAAATTGATAGACAGACATTTAAATGTATTCCATCCCTTTAAGCTTTAATTGTTTAGTTAATCATCCATCGACTTTTTTGAGGGCATAATCCTAAACATATCAAAATTTCTTGGCTTAAATTGTAAAATGGTGGATAAGGATTCTGCATCTTCCTTTGCCGTATTACCATCTGCCTTTGATCAAATCATCAGCCATCAACCTTCTCTGTTTAAGTTATAAGTAGTTTTTCATCAAAAAAGGAGAAAACTGATAATTTCTCATAATGTTCACAGACTACATAGAGACACTATCATTGGTTTTAAGCCTTGCTTTTTGAAAACTTTCTTTCTTTTTGGCTGATTTTTGACTCTCTTTTTCAGCACGGAAACCTGATTCCTATTGGCTTGGTTGATCACTGAGATTGCATTCACACTTGATTTGATATTTGCCAAGCTATCTAGCTTATACTCAACTTTTTTTGAATGATAAGCAAGTTCCTTGAAGTCATTCAATTCAATGTAGCTTGATTACTTTCCCCAAACAGTAGGAAGCAATATTTTCCTTCTTATCTAAGGCTAGTACATTCCAGCTGACTGCCATTTTTCTCCTTGATCAGGTCCTCCATCTTCTCATTTTCAACTTTATCTTTCGTTTTCTTGCTCGTGTAGTCTTGTTACATGCTAAAGTATTTAGAAACCAAAGTCTAGCCAGCCCACCACTCCCAACCTTGCTCAAAATGACCTTGTCCGTGCCTTAGAGACACGCTTAATTTAGCTAGCTAGCTGATTAAGACACCCACCAATTCAAAAATATTGATGTAACATGATCACCAACTTTTTCCCTCACATAATTTGCCTTCCCAATTGGTTGTGGGGGGGGGGGGGGTCACCCTTTTGTACGATAGAATTTAGTTAATTCATGTAAAGGGTGTTGAATTTTATCCATAAGATACCTAATATCAACCGGATTCCGGAATTAAATCAGTGGTGTTTGTTGGCATTGTTGTTGCTAAATTGGAAAAATACATTTGTCTAATAATGTGGACAGAGAATAGTAGGTAAGATGACGTATATAATAAATATAATATGATAAGGTTGCATGATTGAATAGATTAATGTG